ATTCCAATAAAAATCTCAATCACATTCTTCAAAGAAATAGAACAAATACTAATGAAATTCATACAGAACCACAAAAAAAAAAAAAAAAAAAAAAACACAAATTGCCAAAGCCCTACTGATGAAAACAAAGGAGAAAGATATCACACTTCCAAACTTCAAGCTACCCTACAAAGCCATAATAATTAAAGCAGTTTGATATTGGAACAAAAACAGACACACAGACCAATGGAACCGAATAGAGAGCCCTGAAATAAACCCACACTTAAATGGATAGCTGATCTTTGACAAAGGAGCAAAGAATATGCAATGGAACATGGACAGTTTGTTCAATAAATGGTGCTGGGAAAACTGGACCACCACATACAAAAAAATGAAACTAGACCACTACCTCTCACCGTGCACAAAAACCAACTCAAAGTGGATAAAAGAACTGGACATAAGCCTGAAACCATAAAATATATAGAAGAAAATATAGGTAAAACACTACAAGACATACATCTCAAAAATATATTTAAAGAATATGAAAGCAAAGAAAGTCAAGGAAAAGATAAACATTACATTACATTGAAACTGGGATTACATTAAAACTGAAAAGCTTCTGTACAGCAAAAGAGACATCAACCAAAACAAAGAGACACCCCACTGATTTGGGAAAAAATCTTTGCACTCCATACAACTGATAAGGGACTGAAGATATACAAAGAACTCACATGACTCAACAAAAACAAAGTAAACAATCCAGCCAAGAAATGGGCAGAAAAAAAGACATTTCTCCAAAGAGGAAATGCAAGTGGCCAACAGGCATATGAAAAAATGTTTAACATCCCTAATCATCAGGGAGATGCAAATCAAAACCACACTGAGATACCACCTTACACCTGTAAGAATGGCACATATTAAAAAAAAATAGCAATAAATAACAAATGTTGGCAAGGATGTGGTGAAAAGGAACTCTCCTACATTGCTGGTGGGAGTGCAAACTGGTCCAACCACTATGGAAAGCTGTCTGGAGGTTCCTCAGTCTACTAAAAATGGAGCTACCATACATATGACCCAGCAATTCCACTCCTAGGGATCTACCCAAAGGACACAAAAACACTGATTCAAAAGACCACCTGTACACCTATGTTTATTGCAGCACCATTTACAATAGGTAAAACCTGGAAACAACCCAAATGTCCAAAATAGATGACTGGATCAAGAAGATGTGTTATATATACACAATGGAATATTATTCAGCAATCAAAAAAGATAAACTCATGCCATTCGCAGCAACGTCGATGGAGCTAGAAGGGATTATGCTCAGTGAAATAAGTCAGCAGGAAAAATAAAAGTATCGGATGGTTTCACTTACAGCAGGAATATAGGGGAACCAAATAAGACATCAGTGTAAAAAAAATAACAACAGTACAAAACACAACAAAGCAAAAACAGACAATTATAAATCAGAGAATCCTACAGGGGAGGAGGCTGGAGAGGGAACAGAGGGAGGGAGGGAGGAGCACAGGGGACTGAGGTGATGGTGCACGGGTGCATTGGGGAAGGAAACTCTATGGGACTACACCTGAGGGAGTGGGGAGAAGCAAATATTGTTTAAAAATGAACAATGATGTAAAAAATTAAAAAAATAATAATTAAAAAAATAAAAATTTAAACAAGGAACAAAAAAAATGAAAGGGCAAAAGAAGACAACATCACCATGTGCGACCCCAGAGGGGGCTGCATGGACGGCACAGTCTCGAGGTGCCTCAAGAGGGCACTTCCTACTGTTTACACCCAAGAAAAGGCAGCAGAGGTTCTTGCAAAGGACCTAGTTAGGAGGGAGCGCCCGGATTTCAAAGACAGCTTGAGAACAAGGGAAAAAGTTAAGGACAGGAAGGCCAGCTTCTAAACAGGTGCTCCTGCGCTTCCCCCTCCAACCACTGGTCTTGGTGACTTTCTCCTGTGTTTTCTCCTCCCTGCACTTCACCTGATGTGACCCTACAGCTAATGTCAGGCACCCACAGCCTTGGCTTGGGAAGGGGAGATGATGTCATCATGCCTGTGGGACCATTTTTGGGGCTCAGCTCTGGGAAGAATGTTGAGTGTAAACACAGCAGATTGTAGACCATGTCAGGCCTCTTCACAGGGGGAGAGGACACTGAAAAACAGAGGTAATGGAAAGTCACCCGGGTTGAGGAGCACAGAGGACAGGCCTTCTGGCCTTCACAGAGGGTCCCCTGAACAGCTTCATCAGGGGGTTCAGGACCCTCACCTACACAATGAGGTTGCTGCACTATTTGACTTCTAAAGGTGCCTCCAAAATACTCTGATCCCAGGCAGTGATCAAAGTGGACCTGAGGAGCCAACAAAAGCAGGCCTCTGGAGAGGAGACAAAAGGAAATTTGGGGTTGTCATTTTCTCCCAACTTTTGGGGCTATTTACCCTTCAACTGTGTGCTTGACCTAAAGAAGCTAAAATATTGGAGAAGAGCTGTAAATGTTATGAGAATTTCAAAAAGATAATTCCCTTAATGTTGCTGGAGAGGGATAAATGAGAAGATACTTCCACTTATAGGGTCACAGACACAAATGCTTCCAGGAGCTGAGCAGGTAAGGCGGTGGCCCAGTGCCAGCAGACTCAACAGTTCTTTCACGGGTAATCTGAAATCCATATTTAATGTGAGACCTCACAATTTTTAAATGCCGTGATTAATACAAGTTTTGGTTTGAAAATCCTGGACTCTGGTTCTAGCCCTGCTGAAAGAACAGCATTTGGACTTTCCCTTCTGTGGGACTTATGGTAAAAAGGGACAAGATAGCCAAAGCAAGTGTTTGGGGGCATTGAGTAACGGACAGCAAAAGGCTGTGTCCTTGAGGAAAAGGACATGGTCAAGAGGAGCCTGCACTCACCTGGGTCTCTGGCAGCTGCCCAAACCTGAGCATCAGGAAGTAAATCCTAAATAGAGAACAGTGTGTCTGGGCAGAGGAGACAGAGATCAGGTGCAGGGCTGCTGAGACTGGAATTTGCAGGTCAGGGCATCAGGAGAAGTTCCAGAACCCACACAGGGCTACTCCCAAGTCTCTGGGCGGGCACCAACCGGCTCCTGTGCAAGCCTGCACTCACCAAGGCTGGCAGCGCAGTTACTGGGGAGTCCTAAGCTGATGCAGACATTCTGGAGTGTGAGCAATGCTGGCATTCTCACGAGCCAGGGTGCAAAGACCTCACAGAGCACAATAGACGTTCAGTCAAGACAGCAAAAGGCCAGGCCTGAGGGTCAGGGCTAATCTAGACCTGGCCTATTAAAGACTAACTCAAACAGTGAAATTAAGTATTAACCGTTCACCAATTCAAGGCATAACAGTCTAGCAAAAAAAATCCCAATTCTTCATAGCACAGCATCAATAATGCCTAGCATACGATAAAGAATTAGTAAACAATAGAAGCAGAAAAATGCAACCTGTAACGAAGAGGAAAGACAATCTAAAGAGAGAAAATAGACCAGAAATGACAGAAGCCCTTTAAAAGAGCTATCACAAAGTTCAAAGATTTAAAGAAAATACTTTTTTCTTGTTTCCTAATCGCTTTAAATGACAATCATTTCAAGCAAACATAGTAACAATGTGTGTAGAAATAAAATACATATAAAAATAAAATGTAGAATTATGTAGAAATAAAATATGTAACGTGAAGAAATAAAACACATAACCAAATACTCAAATAAAGCATATGAGAATATGTAGAAATAACATACTAACACAAACATATGTAGAAATAAAATATATGACAACACTAACATAAAGAATGGGTTGGGGAAATGAAATCTACTGGCTTAAGTCTCTTACGTTATCAATTAGATAGTGTAATATAATTGAAGGTCAATTGTGATGAATTAAGGATGTGTATATAATTCCTAGAGCAACCACAAGAAGTATAAAAAGCCACTGGAAGACACAATATGGAATACTAAAAAATATTTGATTAATTCAAAGGCAGACAATAAAAAAAGGAACAAAGACTAAGGCTCTGGGCACTGGGAAATAGAAGATAACACACTTAAACCTGACCACACAGCATCACATCAGATGTAACAGGCCCAAACACTCCAGTTAAAACAGTACAGAGCAGAGAGAGCAAGACCACGGGCTGTGGTAGGCCAGGAAGTTCATGGACGCTGTTTACCTGTATCATGACAGACTGCCATACAGAGCCATCCCTCCATTAAAAATTTTGTTGGGGATGGGCCTCCCTGGTGGCACAGCGGGTTAAGACGCAGCCTATGAAGCTGTCCACAGCCAGTGCAGCAGGAGTTCGATCCCTGGCCAGGGAGCTACCCACATGGAGCAGCAGACCTCTCCTGACTCGCCCACTGCTCCCCTCAGCAGTGTATTTCACTCAGTCTGCCTGTTCTGTTCCCCCACATCTCTGGCCTGTACCCCAATTCTTGTTTAAAAAAAAAAAAAAGAGAGGTGGAAGAAGTGAAGGGAAATATAGCACGAAAAAAAAAAATAAGCTTGTTGGGGGAGACAATGAATGGCCCATTTTTCCTGACAGCGAAGAACGCAAATCTCTGACCGTCTCGTCCTGTGCATGGCAAAGCGGGCACACAGCTTCACCTCCACAACCTGGGGTTGCCGGGTTAACCTTATCTAAGGCAACCTGTGTTTACGGTGTGTGCAGGGCAACCTCGGCAGAGGACGGGCGCCACTCCCGGGGAAGGTGGCCCGAGAGTGATGGTTTAGAAGATGGTTTGGAAGAGGAGGACACATAAGCAGGAGCTGGAGACACACTCTCATTTTTGGCTTGAGTCACAGAAGCTTATTTTTAAATGTGCTTCATTATGAGCAAATGATACAGTGTTTGTACCCAGATTGTTTTGGGGATAGGTGATTGGCCTCACCATGAGCTACTGTGGATGAGAACACAAATTTAGGGCATTCAATTGGAGAATAAATGTGTATTTAAATTATGAAGAGATAGGCAGGTAAGAGGCGGTTAGGATAGATTCTGTTCATTCTTACCGTTCCTTGTTGATAAAAGTGTGGAGCCAGCTCCAACAGCCAAGCAGATTCAACAGCAGTCACGTCTCTCATGTAATACTTGGAGGTCTGTATGACCTCATTGTAGATAACCCTGAAACCAGACGGAAGCATTAGTAGGTATCTTGCGATGAGAGTCAAGAAGCCACAATTAGAAATGAGCTTTTCCCCTTCACCTTCCACAGGGCTGGGTTCTGGCTACAGGGGTGATCCTAAACAAATGCATTTATGTGGCTCAGTTAGTCTGGAGTGAAATGAATGTTCACTGAGGGAATAAGGGAGTAGAGGAATATCACCGCTTTCTTAAGGAGATCTGTGGCAGGGCAAGAACCCTGGAGATGACTCAGGGTAACGCAGTCAGCAAAGGCACACTGGGGCCCAGAGGCAATCCAGGCCTGGCCTGGCCTGCAAGGCAGCTCCCAGACTAAGCAGGAGCAAGTGGGACATACCAGCGAGGCGGCTTCTCCGCATAGAGGACAGACGCAGGGTGGATATGTAGCTCATGATCATCACGGATAGTCCTTGAAAAACACAAGAATTTTGTCTGAAGAACATTTTAAATACTTACAGCAAGACCTTGCCACAGATGTGTTTAATAGCATCAAAAATGCACGCAGATGGTACTTCACGCAAACGAGATTATTGTCACCCTCTCCCCCTGGGCCAGTAGCCCCCTCCCCTGCTACCACCCCAGATATCAAGAATAAATCATGCAAAAAAGGGAAGAGAAGGTGGATGTTCAGAAAATAATTTAGAAAAATACTACTCTGCGCAGGCCTATGTTTCTTTGCTGTACATTCTCTTTCAAACACTATCCTTGGGGACAGAAATAAGATAGACAGCAAATGTGGCCACAATGTATCAGGACAGGAGGTAGCCTGTCCTGCAGGGCTCCAGAAACATAACAACTACTCAATGGCAGAAGTAACCTCACCAGAAAAGATCATCTTTGGCGGCTCCCTCTATCATTCTGCTATTAGAACAGAACTGTCATCCTTCTACAACATACGCAAAGGGTGAAGACGGGAGAACTAGGTCCACAAAGTGAATATACTTGGCTGAAAGCTATGAAGCTAACCTCCACTCACTTTTGGAAGGAAGCATGATATTTATTTAATTTCTCTACTGCCCCTGCACATCAGCTCTGTGAAGGCTGGGACATTTTTAGGATATCTGCTTTAACAAATGTCTTTACAAAGGATCAAATACCTGTAAGCGCCAGTAGAATGAAACCTCGCTGCATTGGCAAAGAACCCCGCAACGATGCACCTCAGAACTGGGTCCGGGTCACCTACACAGGGCAGCAAACAGTGCTGGATGAGATCCCTGCCTGTCTGTGCCGGGATACACAGGGCCCAGTGCCAAACCCACTGCCGGCTGCTTCAAGCCACCTTACAACCACCTCCTGCCCCAACCCCCTCTGCTTCCAGAGCTGGAGGCCTGCCCCAGGCCATCTATGGAGGTCACCACCTTCCCTCCATGGCTGCTCAGGGGAACCTGCTGGACTGTTCCTCTCACTGTTTGCTACTATAGTCATCCACCTAACAGTTATTTTTCTTGCAAAGACTTGATGGGAAAACTAATTATCTAATGTGCAATGAAGTGGACGCTAACCATTCTTAAGTGTTGTCAGGGGGCATCAATTTTTTTTTTTTAGTAAGAATCACCTTCAGAGATAAAAGTGAACCTCCTTGGAAGAAACGCCCCACTTTTATTTATTTTTTTTTAAATAATAAATTTTATTTTTATATTCCCCCATACAACTGCACATGCCCCATTCTGACCCCAATCCCTCCCCTCCCGGCCCCCACCCCCCAAAAAGTGTCTCTGGTTCATAGTTTTGGCTTTTCATGAACACAGGCAGTTCCGACCAGAGCTTGGGGTGGGTACAGAGCACACAGGCCTGCCTCACACCAGGCGGCAGGAGAAGGCGAAGAACACAAGTGAGTGGAGCGAGGCAAGCGCATCCCCGCGGGGCACCGTGTTCTTACCTTCACTAGATTTCTTGGGCACTTGAAACTTGACAAGCAGCTTTTTCAATTGTTCTCTCACAGTCGCAGCTCGGACAAGACCCTTGTAATTCAGGAAGTGCTCCTGACACCACTGAGAGTTCTTGTTGTGCTACAGAACAGCCCAGACAAAGGGAGAGGAAGGGAAACAGAAATGCTCTTGACTGAGGCTGTCTGTGAAGACAGCTGCTTTCTCATCCCTGTGCGCCTACCTGGGACCAGCTCTTCAGAGGGTGACCAGTCCTGCATCGGGTGGACCACCTGACAGTTCTTCAATCTCACCCTCACCACAGAGGGGAAATGACACTTCACAACAAGCAGAATCGTTTGCGATCTTAAATGCCCCTGAGTGGCTAGTTATTAGAAAGAACCACTTCCCTACGGGTCTTTGTAAATGAATTTGCCTTCTTTGACAGGCTTGAGTTTATCACTTTTTTACTTTTTTACTATAGCAATACGACTTGCCAAGTCAAAAATGATTTTTAAATTACTATTGCAAATTTTCTGTCCCCAAAGTATGATTCCTATCAACAATGTTTAATTTTGTTCTGCACTCTTAAATGTGATCATTTTGTCTAAAGTTATTGCTGTGGGAATGTAGCTCTGAAATTATACTCTAAGTCAGGGACAAAGTGTTTTCAATAAGAAAATGTAAATCACACAGGAATCTCTGAGAAGGCAACCTTAAACGACTGTGCTTCCATGGGCGCGGAGGCTGCAGGTCGGAGAAGGTGCCCTGTGCTCATAAAAATGAAATTTAACTGATTTAATCGATGATCAATAACCTCAGGAAGAGGGAAATTTTTTCTGAAAACTGTTTATCAAAGGAATTATCTCCCATTCAAATGTCTAGCAAAACAAACACTAGTTCTCCTCTTCTAAGCGAAGTATTTAATAAATGAAAACAAGATGCCAAACATCTGAAATATCTATTTTCCCTTCTTTCCTCCTCTTTACATGACAGGGGTCTGTTCCCATCATCCTTACAGATCTCATTTTTCAGCAATTTTTAATGAGAGTACTAAGTGGTTACTATTAGACCTTAGGCTGACAGACTACTAAGAACAACAAAAATTCCTATTACCTAAGGCTGGATATGGACAGATGTGAATGTCCACTAAATGTCTCCTCAAGCTCAACTGGCAGATGGAGGAGAGGTGGGGACGTGCAGCATCAGGCTCATCGAGATGGCTTTGAAGATTCAACTTCAGACTATAAGTTACTCCTTACTTGGCTAGAAATAGACAGAACTTCCTACTCAGGTATTAGACAGTGTTGTCCAACAACACTGGGTGGTTAAGCGCGCCAGCTGGGGAAGGCTGATGAAGCCCACAGATAGTGGCCACACCTCTAGGCAGGGAAAAGCAAGAAATAATTCCGTGTTCAGGCAAAACCACCACAAACACAGGCAGGGGGCCTAGAACTAGCAACAAACACAAGAATAAAGAGGCATCTTGGTCATTCCTCTGTAAACTGAATTTCTAGAAGCCTCATCCCAAAACACCTTCCCTGGGGAGTACATGTTGGGGACTTCTAGCGCTGTCTGTGCTTACTTTGATAAATGCTTCATACACGTTCAGCATGGTGAGATGGTCACCCTCCTCCACAGCAAATTTTCGGTGCATTCGAATCTAGAGGGAACAAAGCCACATTTAGAAGGCCCTTTTCATGACCCTTTGGTATTGGGAGGTGACACCACACACACATGAATAGCTCCTGGCTCAGAGTGGAAAGGACCAGGTTGGCACCAGCTCTAACTCTGCTATTTCCTGCAAGACCTGGGATTGGTTACTTAACCTACCTCAGCCTCAACTTCCTTATCTGTCAAATGAAGAAATTAGACCTATCACCACTACTGTGGGAGTAGGATAATTCCCTATAAAGTACCTGGCACAGGTATTAGATAAACATCAGTGTTCTTCCTCTCTCCTCCTCTACCCAGTCACTATCATCTCAGAACTCCCAGCCCTGACCTGGAGATAAGCCCCAGAGGCAGGGGCTAAGTGTCTGGCACGTGGTAGACACTTAGTCCTGGGACACCATGAGCTGCACAATCCTTTCAGATGCCGCCCCTGAATTCTGTTTTCAGTAAGACCCTGGGCAATGCCATATGCTCCCCTGCGTTCAAGGGGCAGCACATACAATATACACACAAGTGTGCAAACATGATGATCAGCATCAGGACTTTCTCCTTGAATCAAATACCTCATAAATCACCAACCTACCTTCCCTGCATTCACTCAGTAACAGATATTGACTGACCACCTACCATGGCCAGGCACCATGAGAAGCATTTGGGATACAACAGTGAATAAAACCGTGGTAGGAGAAACACACCAACAAAATAAATAAGCAAAATAGACAGCAACTAGGTGGTAAGAAGTTCTACAGACAAAGACAAAACCAGGGGTGGGTATGCTGTAATTTTAGACAGTGGTCAGAACTTCAGTTTCCTCATCTTAAAAATGAGCTTGCCTGTCTTGAGGAAAGACAGTTAAGAAGGTTAAAACAGAAAACAGAGGCATGGAGGCAGGCAAGTCTGTCCCCCGACCGCACACCCTCTTCTGACCCTACCCACAGGAAGGGACCCTCAGCTCATCTGTGACCTGTCTCAATCACACGCCTCGCCTCCATGGAGCTCTTCAACATCATAACTTTTCCCTTGGTCTCTCCAATGTTCCACCTTCCGGTCGTCGCTGACACCCGAGCCTTGCGTACAGCCTGTCCCTGAGTTGGCTTGACCCTGACCACCACCAGAACCACAGCACCCGGGCACCGGACTCCTGATGTCACTAACGTGCCCACCAGATCACAACCAGAGCAGCCAATTTCCTCACAGGAAACTGCAGCAGGATAATGGTAAAGTCGGGGCTATGGACAGTGAAGGCAACCACTGATTCTGACTGCGACCATGAGTGAGCTGGCTAACCTTCCTGCGCCTGCATCTCTGAATGTGCGTACACAGCCCCATCTACCCAGGATGCTGTGAAAACAAAGTGAAACGTCCATTAAGCGTGAGGTGCAGCAGCAGCCCCAGACAGCACTCAGTGTGCGCTGATACCACTTCACAGCTGTCATCAGCAGGTCCTGGGGAGCTTTAACAAGGAAAACCCAAAGTTGGAGACTAGTATGAAGAGCTTGAGGGAAAGGCGGGACTTACTGCCTGGGACTTCTGATTTGAGGGGACCACAAAGATATTCTGGATCTGCATCATGGCAGCAATGCTTAGAATTTCCTGCGAACAGCCAAAATTTCCTATGAAGCAAAAAAGCACACTTGATTACAAACTTAAATATGTCAATGAGACAAATGATGTCAGCGAGAACTGAGAGACACCGTCCGATATTTTCCTTGCACCATACTAAGATCATATTTATATACAGCCTGATTTTTAAAGTTCGTAAGCACTTCACCCTGTCAAATGCTACATCCTATACGTGGCCCAGATGAAAGGAGGCCCTGAGGCTGGAGCTGCTGTCACCCTCTGCACCATACACACCACAGGACTCTGGCTGGGAGTCAGGGTGGGGCCAGGGTGGCCCGTCACTAAGGCAGGTCAGCTCCAGGCCTGCTCCTTTCTCTTACATGGATACTTAGAATTCTGGAATAAAGTCTGAGAGGGAAAGAAGGGCAAGAAACACGTGGGTTGTGACCTTTGGCTACTTCTCTGCCCTTGGACCATTCACATAGGGAGTGTACCTCTCAGAAGGGTTCAACTCACCTGTCAAGTGCGAGGCATAACTAGACCAGGGAAGCACCCTGTGTGGCTGCTGCTGGTCCTGAGGGCAGAGTCTGCCATGATCAGCCCTGGGCATCAGACCGAGAGAGCCCATTTGAGTTCCTCACGACTTCCAGACTCGTGAATGTCTGTTCCCCCACCCCAAACTTGGAATCCAGCTTCTCAATGTAAGATGCTAAGATCATTTTCTTGGTTGTTCCAAAATACATTATAGCCATCACCATATTAGTCTGAAATACAGCTTTGCAGACTGGCAATTAATGCGAAAGTTAAAAAAGCAAGGAAAATATTTTGGGGGTGCAGGACACACACAAACTACACTCTATGTGATTTTGATTTCTAAGAGCTCCAGGGTGTACACTTTTATCTCTTGACTCATACCCGCACAAAACTTGGAAGGTAGTGGAAAAGTTGGAACCCTTGTACATTAGTGTAGCCACTGTGAAAAATGGTATGGTGATTTCTCAGAAACTTACATAGAATTAGCACAAGATCCAGTAATTCTACTCTAAGTACATACCCCAAAAAAGTGAAAGCAGGGACTCACATACTTGTATGCCAAGGTTCATAATAGCACTAGTCACAATAGCCAAAATGTGGGGGCTCTATAAGTGTCCACCAACAGATGAACAATATGCACACACAATGGAATATTATTCAGCCTTAAAAAGGAAGAATATTTTGACACATGCTACAACATTATACCAAGTGAAATCAGACAAAAAAAGACAAATATTATGATTCTACTTATATGAGATCCTTAGAACAGTCAAATTCAGAGAGACAGAAAGTAGAATGGTGACTGCAGGGGCTGGAGGAGGAGAAAATTAGTATTTCATGGGGATAGGGTTTTAGTGTGAAAAGATGAAATTCGTGTTCTAGAGGGGGATGGTGGTGATGGTTGAAGAACAATGTGAATGCACTTAATGCCACAAAACTGTACACTTAAAAATTGTTACAAGGGTCAATTTTAACTTCCCTGATTAAAAAAAAGTGTCAGGACTAGGCCCGAGGGAAACAAACAGGTATGAGCTGAGTTAGCGATGACGGGCACTGAACCAAAGTAAGAAACATGCCCCAAACCAGGCAGCTAGAGCAGCAGATCTCACTACTCCAACTACACCGTGCCCTCTCCCCCAGGGGGAACAGAACTTGGGGAGATAAGTTCTCTGACAAAATCAAATCAATGAAAACCATAGGTCTTCACCCACCTGATTCGAGCAGCATTTTTGCAAACATGGGGTTCAAAGGGAACTCGGCTATCCTTGTGCCCAGTGGCTCAGTCAGGCGACAGTCTTTGTCCAGACCTGCAAAGAGAGCAACAAGAATCAGGAGGCGTGCACTGCTGCATTAGAAGATGCACAATTGTTGAGCGAATCAACAATGACGGAGCTTAAAGAAAGGTATCCAAAAGATGAATCGTGCACGACCAAACTCAATCTGGCACCAGAGAGCCATTACATGACAAAGGATCTCCTCTGAGCACTAAAATACTGATATTTCTAATGGCTTCCTTTCAAGGATTTACTTACACAGAAATGGTCCTGCAGCCTCCAGTGGCTCCCACTCTCTCTTCCCTCACAATAGCCCCCTGGTCTCACAATTCACTGGGGCCCAGCAACCAACTACATCTTTTCCTTGGGGTCCCAGCAGCTTTTGACTCTGCAGACACACAGCTGTTGGAGAAACTCCTCCCCAGCTTCTGTGACCCCCACTCTCCTAGTTTTCTGCCATCTCTGCTGCTGCTCCCCCTGTCACCTCTGGATCTCTCCCAAGTCCAGTCTCTTAGATGCCACACCTGTCCAGGATAGCATTCTGTGCCCTCTGTTCTCATACCATGCAAGTGATAACAAGGCCAGTGACTATGAAGCTAAACACTTGCCCAGATCACTCTTTGGTGCCAACACCATAGCTGTTTATCCAGCTGCCTCCTGGGCAGTTTACTGGATGGGGTGGGGCAGTCTCCTCCAGTTCCCCACAATGCCTCTTTACCACTGGCCAATATCCAGGTATTGGATTCCAAGGTGTAGACTATTATTTTACTATTACTCAAACTATTCCCAGGACGTAGTATTAAAACAAACACTGCACAGCTCAAAGACAGAAAGGTAATTTCTCTTTTGTTTCCACATAATCATCTCTTTAAAGGTGATAATTTAGCTTCTAACCAAATTAAGTTGGGTGTTTTTCTCTACTTTTCCCAGCTTATTTAGAGTAGTGAAGAAATAGAAAATATTTTAATGTCATTCTGACTAGGGGAAATCACTCCAAATAAAAACAACGCCTACACAGTCAATAATCTCTCATTCTTGTTACAGATGACACCAGAAAACCTTTCAAGTCCCTATTACATGCCTGAGAGGAGGGGGTAGAAACCTATTCTAGCACATAATTACTTTGGACTGACTTCGTGGAGACCCACCTAAAGGCCTTTTAAATCACTGAAGATCTTTTAAACCAGTTAACTGGTTATTCCTTTACAGAGAAGTACCATAAATATAATGAATGTAGATGGACTCCTACCTCATTGCATACAAAAAAGGAACTCAAAATGATCACAGCCCTACTAAATATAAGATCTATAAAAAAAACTCTTTAAAGATAACCTAGCAGAAAAAAAAAAAAAAAAATAACCTAGCAGAAAATCTTCAGGCCTGTGGGTCTGGCGATGGTTTATTAGATACTACACCACAAGCAACAGAAGAAAAAAATAAGTGAGTTGAGCATCATAAAAATCTAAAACTTTTGCACTGTAAATGATGCCATCAAGAAAGTGAAAAGCCAATGGCAGAATGGGAGAAACATTTATAAATCATCCCAGGTCAGATAAGAAACTTGTATCCAGAATAAAGAACTCTTCCAACTCAAAAATAAAAAGATAACACCCTGGGTAAAAATGGGGAAAGGATTTGAAAAGACATTTCTCCAAACAAGACACGCAAGTGGACATAAGCATATGGAAAAATGCCCAATACCATTTATTATAAGAGAACTGCAAATCAAAGATACTGCTGCATACCTACAAGGATGGTTAGAATATAAAAAAGGCAAACAATAACAAGTATGGAGAACTTGGAACCCACACACTATACTGGTGAGAATGTCTACCAAAAACTTGGACATGGACATTTATAGCAGCATTATTTATATTAATAATATAAATATAATAAAATAAAATAAATTTATTATATAAATATAATATAATATAATATAATATAATATAATATAATATAATATAATAAAGCCCAAGAGGCGGGAACACGCCAAGGGTCCATCAACTGATGAATGGAGAGAATAAGATGGTATAGCCACACAATGGGATACTAAAGAAATGTGCTAGCACAGGCATGTGCTATCACACCAATGAATCTTGAAAACACCAAGCTGAATGAAAGAAGCCAGTCACCAAAGGCCATGTATTACGGGTCCATTTATATGAAATGTTCAGAATGGGCACATGCAGAGATTAGAAAGTAGACAAGAGTTGGGAGTTGGGAGGAGGAGGAGAGAGGAAATGGGGAGAGGGTGGTAATGGGGCTCTCTTTATTGGGTGATGAAAATGTTCTAAATTTGTGATGATGGATGCATAACCCTGTGAATTAACTAAAAACCACTCAATTGCACCTTTCAGATAAGTGAACTGTACAAAAACAAACAAACAAAAAAATCTGAAGGGACAAAACCACCACTGACACTTATTAGCAAGCTGGTATTCTATGATATTCACTTGGGGCAATCTTCACAGAAAAGACATGTACTTCCTGAATAAGTGAATCCAGGCTGTAATTTTCTAAATACCATATTTCTAAACAAGAGAAGAGAGATTCTTCTATAACAAAGTGTTTCCTCTGGTAAACTACCCAATTCTCCACAGGAAACTCCAGGAATGTAATGAAGAGGAGTCAGGGAGAGAACAGAGCCACAAATTTCAGGATGGGGTGGGAGACAGAGAAAAAGGTCTGGAGGGATAACATCAGAAACACTGATAGGAATCTTCTAAATGTCTCTTGGGAATGTGGCTCTGGTGATGATTACAAATAGTTTTTGAGGTACTGACAAGCTATTATATACTCACTGGGGTAATTGGACTCCTGTACTATTAATCTAATTATGGTCCCACCTTATTTAGACAAAGTTTAAATGTTGTTAAGAGGATTACATATGGGGCCTCCCTTGTGGCACAGGTGGTTGAGAGCTGTGAAGCTGTCCGCAGCCTCTGCAGTGCCGGTTCACTCCCCACCAGCCTCGGAGACACCCACATGGTGGGACAGACCTCTCCAGCTGCTCCCATCAGCAATGTATTTCAGTCAATCTGCCTGTTCTGTTCCCCGCTCTATCTCTGGTGAATCCTCTCACCCTCCCGCACATCTGATCTGTACCCTGGTTCTTGTATAAATAAATAAATCTTTTTAAAAAAAAAGAGGATTACATATGGGGAGAAGAAATCCCATTCCTGGAAAACCCTTAAGTGGAAGACCCCTCTCTAATGCCAGTAAACAGATTAGAGAACATGGCACCAGACATGGGCATACCTCCCAGGGCGTAGAGCAACTCCAACGCTTGAACCATCGACTGTGCTGGAGGGGGCTGGAAAAAAGAGAAAATCCTCAATTTATTTATTCTGGTAACACACACAAAAATGTGACAGTTTCCTGTTCAAATCCACTCGTCCCTCCAACATGCCCAAACTTCCCAACGTCCATGCTCCACTCACGTGAGTGCCCCTCCACTGGGCCTCTCTCGTCGGCGTCCTCAGGGCTACTTGGTCTTTTATCTCAGCTAATCAAACATTTCCCTTTGAAGTCCCTCCTCAGACTCCCCTATATCTGAAGTTATGCTCCTTACCTTAAACTACTATACACATTGAATTTGGATTTCTAAAAGTAACAGAGAATTCCAGATATCTGAAATTAAGCAAAATTGACACTGTTGCTAGTGTCTGATTCTCTGGACCCTACCTCCTTCTTTCCTTCTGCAAATCTTTACTGAGCATCTACTAAGCACCAAGCCTTATTACCATGTTCTTCTAAATGATTTCATTTAAGATTACAGTACTTTGCAGCGTCCTAAGTGCATTCATGTAACAAATGTGTTTTAAGTACCACAACTGCTTTAGCCCAATTTCACAGATGAGGAAAGTGAGCAACATTAAGGTACAGACATTTGAACAAGGCCATTCAAACAGGTGGTTGGTGGCAAAGGCAGAAACCAAACTCGGTTTTCATTTTTTCTACTCTACCCAACCCACTGACTGCCGAGGACCAAAACGGCACTTTTCAAAGCTGTGAGGACTGCATGCACATACTTATGAACAAGACCTGATTCACTGCATACAGCATATCCAGCAAACCACTGCTGACTAAATCACGTCACTGATTCACCAGCCTTTCCTCAGAGCTTATGACATCCCCTTTACAAAGAGGCAAAACACACAGCACCTAAATGGAGGAACTTACCCTCCCAAGTATATTTCCCACCAAGGTTACATGAGATAATAGGAAAAGCAAAACAATGAATTAAGTATTGAATAATTGCACAACAAAATTAATTAGGTCCTCTGATTCCTTTCAATCTTTGATACAACTTCGAGTGAATCACCAAGCCCTAAAAAATTTTGTTCTCAGTATTAAAAAAAACTCTACTCACACCCCCACACCTAAACACACACTTACTAGCACTTCCCTATGGCAGAATTCAGAGTTATGTGCAACACTGTTTAACAAGTTGGAAGGGCAATATATGTACAATTTAGTTTTTCTATACATTTTATGGTTTTTCTCACTGTGTGGTTTTCTGTTTTCATTGTTTCTTGCACCCACAGAAAGGTCACAGTGATCACTTAACTTGGAACAGCAACAGAACATTCCAGTACGGTGAGACTTTATAAAGTAAGCAAGTTCCTTACTATTTAGAAATTAAGTTATTTTCAGTTCTTTCTTACTATAAACAATACTGCCAAATACACAGAATTATATGTGCCCTATGATTTCTTTTTTTTTTTTTTTTTACTGTTTGTCATTTATTTATTTTTTTTTTTTTACCCTCTTGAGAGTACCTTTATTCAATTAAAAATTTTTAACAAGAAACTGGCAGTGAATGATTCAATCAGTGTGCCCTATGATTTCAACTGAAAAAAAAAACCACAATTTCGGGAGAAAATAATCAGAAGGAACTATATGAGGACAAATTTATGTATATTTTCCTAGTTTTTCAGTGGTCCAAAAGTTTACAACGGTCATCATTTATATCTTTAATGTAATATAAAATAAACAACAAACATTCTCACAAATGTAATTTTTTCTTCCCTTGAATTAATTTTCAGGAAAAATTTCCCTGAGAAGGAATACCAGGCATTTCTATATCTAATAAAATAATGTCAGAAAACCTTCCATTAGGACTTAGAAACAGAGTATAAAACCACTTTCTCAAATTGCGTCAGCTTTAGATTTTATCATTTTTCTTTGTCTGATCATTTAGTGGAAAGAGGAACTTTCCAGCTATTCCAGTTTGTGCTCCTCTTTCTTACAGAGAAAATAAAACATGTGCCAATGTTAGCTTACTATCTGTGTGCTTCCCTCCGCTGTAGCTTTTTCTTTAATGGGTATTTGATTTGATTTAATGGGTATTTATTTTGATACTCGAAAATGTTTTCGCAGTTTCTCTGATGATGATGCGTCATTTCTACCACTATATGTTTTCTTTTGATCTTGCACGTGGAGCTTTGCACAGGCTTTAATTTGCATATACTCTTTGTCCTTCTTTATAACTTCTTGTACTATGTACCAATAACCAAAGGGTCCATTTTCTCCATACTTACAATAACCACGATTGCTTTCTTTGAGAGGGAGCCTGATATTTTTCTATTCCTTCGTTTGCTAAGTTTATCACGATACATGCTAAAGGACTTTACAATCCAAGAATAAAGATTTGCCATACCATATGCCAAAAACAGTAGGGGTAGCACAGAGAGGTAAAATCCAAGTCTTCAGATCAGAAAAATCCAAGAAGAAAATATGAGTGAACACTTACTGACTGACCTGGATATAGGATAGTGCTTCAGAAGCACAAGAATAACAGAAGAAATCACAGTGGCAAAGAACAGAAAGATTCTTCTGTGAAAATGTTTACATGGATAAATTTTACCGTGGAAATGTACACATGACTGCACATTAAAAATAAATAGTAAAGTTCAACAGTTGAAGAACTCTGGAAAATCACTAATCAATACCAATTCTAACAGATAAATGGCTTAACAACTCAGAAGAAACAAAATATTTTTCTTCCCTCCACCCCCACCAATCAAATTAGCCAAACTCTGAAAGAAAATAACCTGGCCTGACAGGGCACAATGGTACTCACACACTGTTATAAAGCTACAAAGCAATTTGGTCATGATCAAGGGCTAGGACCAACAAAACGACAATGGCCCTTCGACCCAATAATTCCACTCCTGGAAATCTGCCTTAGGAAACCATCAGAAATGCAATCAGACATAAAGACCTTCCTGCGGTTCTACCAACACCCTCTCAGCTCCCCCAGTTACGGCACCTGCATCCAGGCCTACACACAGGCTTGCTGCCCTGATCTCTCCAACCACAACCTGATGAACCCCTACTAGGGTTTCAGGTCTCTTTGGAGACATGACTAACTGAGCCAGAGGCCTTTACTTCATCTCCCGGAGCACTGGGCACACAGAATGTGATCACCCACTCACTTGTGACTATCCCCAGCAGATGAGAGTAAGAATTGTGTCTGCTCATCTGCTCTACTCATCTACACCCCACACAGAGCCCTGGCACACAACACGTGAGCTAAGTGGAACAAACAGAAAGGTGCCAAGCCCTCTAGCCAAGTCCTGACACTTCCCTGCGAGCGCTCCAGCCACCCTAGGGTCCCAGAGAGAAGGCAGGACTTACCGACATGAAGTGAAATCTGAGGACATTGTCAATTCCTAGTGCTTTCAGCTGCAGGATGACAGGTGCCAAATTACTACGTTGCATCTCAGGAACCGTGGATTGAGGCAGCTTGTCAAAGGCTTCCTCTGAGGATAGGAAATCAGAACTGTTTGGGATCAAATGTCACAATCAAATGCAATCTTTACGCCAAAGGGACAGCCTTCCTTCTCTAACAAGAGGCTCGAGGATCTAGGACCAGATGCAACTGATACAAAATAAAGTTGTTTCATATAAAGACCATTCCACTTAAGAAATATTTCAGTAATTTATATTGGGTTGTCGGAAAAGTCATGATGCATTTTTGCAACAAAAAACAGAAAAAATACATTGACTTTTCCAACAACCCAATCTTTACACACAATTTATCTTTATAAAAAGTTTGTACTCTTACTTTAGAATGCTTTTCCCAGTGTGCTTTTTGTCAACAAAACATTAAATGAAAGCCAATAAGTATTTGCTGAATCACACCTCCACTTGGGATAGTGTGAGTCAAGAAGGCAAGAATTATGCATATAAGCAAAGAATAATTTCAAAGTAAATCATCGGAATGATTGTCAGAACATAACAAATGACCAAATCCTACAAAAAACAGTGTCCAAATTTAACTGCTAAAAGCAATCGGCCAGGCATACACGTCACACCCAGAATCTGAAGCTGTTGCAAACAGATGAATGAAAGCCTACAGGGCCCATTGGGAACACAAGGTGACCCTGACCTCCAAGAGGAAGCAGCACAAGGCACAAGGGTGCAAAGGGGTGGGGTGGCAGAGAAGAGACTTTGGGTGTCTTTTCGTAAAACCTAGACAAAAGGGGTGGGGGGGAAGGAAGAAAGGATGAAATAATTTTTGCGTATATTCAGGAAGCTTATGGATTACATAGACAACACTCCACCCACAAAAATCCTCCCACATCAGTCGACATTTTAACTGTACACACCCTCCTTGACACAAGGGTGACCCAACTTCCCCTGAGATAATAAAGCTTTAGTTAACCAGAGAAAAAGCAAAAAACAGAAACAAGAAACAAAAGATGTCATGAAGAAATAGCACTACCACTGAACAACTTCAAGGTTTTCTTTAAAGAAACAGACAACCAGTATTCTGTGGACTGATTGATACAAACTGCCAAGTGCCTGGGTCTAACTGGAGGGCTCTAGATTATAGGCAACAGCAGAAAGTTCCAAATGGGATACTACCTTTGAGTTTCAAGAGCATTTGGCGAATAGCTTTTTCTAGGATAACTGTATCTTCCAAGCACCCTGCTGACCAATGGAAAAGAAAGTTATCAAATAAGAGGTTAGTCCCGCCAAGAAGGTGCTTCCTGAGAGTTCAACGGCACACAAGTAAACTCTGTTAAGGACTCGAGTGTTTGAGGCATTGGACCGGGGGATGTAGGAGCCATAGACAATGACTTCGAGAAGCTTCAATGATATGAAAGGGCCTGGGACCAAGACAGGAAACAGCGACCTCCGAGGAGGAACAGACTGTGTCCCAGTGAGTGGTTCCCCAAGGGGAAATGGAGGCTCGGGCTCGGGGAGCAGGAAGCACAGCCGCTGGAGAAGACATCTGAGGTCGCTCATGAGGGAACTGCCACTTGGGAGAAGACCTGAAGGATAAGAAGCTGCTGGGCAAAGAGGAAACAACTGCCCAAGGGAAAGCAGGAAAGATATGAAAGGTGGATGTGGCAAAGTAGAAGAATGAGGTCCAGCTGGGCCGCAGTGCAGGGTGAGTACAGGTGGAGAGCAGGACAAAATACGCTGAGAAAAAAATCTGCCTGTTTTCTGAAGGCCATTCTCTGAAAGCCAGGATGACTATGAGAAAGTAAAAGACCCTTAAGGAAAATCATAATAACCTGTATAAAGGCGATAACATTTTCCAGAGCGGTTGCGGCCACCACGCCCTGCTCGCTGGTTGGCTGATGCCTGGGACACTGGAACCACCACCAGGCACTCGATGGCCGTCCTGGGATTGTAGGCTCGGAGTTTCATGAAGCCACAGTCGATCACAAACACAATCCCGCTGATTGTTATGGAAGTTTCTGCCACATTGGTGGCCACAATCACCTAAGATCCCCATCAGAATAATAGTTAGAAAAAAGTTATTTGATCTTTTCATCTTTAATAAACTATCCAAAATCCTAAAAGGCTTATAGAATCTCTAGAATCAACATTATAGCACCACTGAGAGGCAGTTCAGTACAGTGGAAAAGAGTGTGAATTGTAGCATCAGAGTGCCCTGGGCTTGAATTTTCTCTACCCTTGTGACTTAGACATAGCAATTTACCACCTAAGCATGGTGCCTCATCTGCATAATCCCCCTCTCAGGGCTGGTGAGGGGATTATATATGAAATAAACATAGAGCAAGGAGAGCCTGGTGCTTGGTCCAAAGCTAGTATTCAACAAATGTTAGCTTTTATCTTTTGCACACAAAAATAAATCACCATTTTGGATATGTTTACTCATTTATTCATTCACATTCTTGACTATTTTTTGAGTGTCTGCTGCTTGCCAGGCACTATTCAAGGTGCAGGGGGTATATGATGAATAAGAAAAACAAGAACCTGCTCTCCTGGAGTCTACAATTCTCCTGTGAATGTGGGGAATAGTGAACACAAACAAGTGGACCATTTCAGAGAGTGACAGACACTATAAAGAAAATGGAACAGGTAATAACATAATAGTACGTAGTAGTCAAGGGCTGTACTGTGTATGGTAACATGACAATAACGAGGCATGCTACTTTAGATTGGATGGCCAGGGAAGGCCTCTCTAAAAGATGATTTTGAACTGAGACCTGAGTAACAAGAAGCAGCTAACCCTATAGAGAGCCAGGCAGAAAAAACAGTTCAAAGAAGGAGGAAAAGCTGGTGTGGCCAGAGTCCAGAGTAAGTACAAGATGAAGCTAGGAGGGAGGCAGGGACCAGAAGGTGAGGAGTCTTGGGGCCACCGTGAGGGATCCTTCTACTCCATGCACCCTGGGCTGCCCTAAAGAGTTTGAAGCAGCAGGGGTCATGTACAGGTGGCAATTAGAACTTTCATCTTTTCATTTCACTCTTGGAGGCTAACTATATCATAGTGTGACGTTTAGTCACATACAGAGACACAGGCTGTGGAGGACAAGTCCCACATCCTTCATGAAAACATGTCTACTCACAAATAAAACTCCTTAAGCAGTTTGCTTTTTTGAACCTGGGAAACAGCTTTATATTTTAAATCCTTTTCTTTGTTCCTTTAAAATAAGATTTTAAGTCTGTCTCATATTCCAAAACAGGATCCCGAAGCACTTGTATCTTGATGAAACATCCTTGGTTGCTTTGGGGCAATTAGAACTTTCTTCAGGCACTTTTACAGCTCTCATTTCCTAAAAACCTTCCTACCATTTTTATGTAGCAGAAAGCCAGAATATCCTTCTATATGACCACCTATCAAAGGCTTATTATTATTTGTGCTTTACCACTGAGCAGGCCTGGAGGTTGAGTAGCTCATCCCCGGACACACAGAAATCCCAAGGCCTCCTGACAGGTCGGCTGCAGTTCACTTTTGACAGGGAGGACTTGAGTCGTTCCGATACAACAGCCGGAAGGCTGCACACCCTATTCCAAGATGTCTGACATTGGGAGTGGAGCAATTAAGAGAGCTTCCCTTAACTACCATATTCTCTGCCCCTGCTGAGAAAGAAGTACTACTGTAGCCAACTTTGGCCAGTTCTGTGCATTCCTGGTAAGGAAAGAGAAAGCAGAGGAAGGTCTGGGGGATGATGAGCAGGACACAGACTAGCTGCCTGCTGGCTCCTTTAAATCAGGCTTCCCTCCACACCCTTCTCCACCCCAATTCCAAGACTAAATATTTGTAAGCCACACCTTGAATTAATTACCTTAACCTTGGCTCTACAGGCAAATTGATGCTTAAAACAAATAATTTAGAAGCCATTTGTAATGACTTATCTATTGTTACTGATGGATTACAATCTACCAAGCCAGTCCTTTAAGCCAAGGTCATGGGGAAATTCTAAGCAGGCAGAAAAGATGCAAAGAAAAGCCACCTGATCTGATAATTACTGTCAGAGTGACCCCTATACAGGGCAGGCTTAGAAATCTTTGCAACACATTACTTATTGTGTGCTGCATGGATGCATGGACCTAAAATTCTTAAATCAACCTGTTCAGCAAGTTTCACTTCAATTAAAAAAAATCCTTCCAATGCATTATTATTGCAAAGGGGTACGACAGGCTTATAGATGGCTGCACACATGCTGGTCATGGGGTCGGTCTCACCTTTCTGACACTGCGGGACACCCTCTCAAACACTTTCATTTGCTCAAAGGAAGGCAGTCCTGCATACATGGGGAGAACCCGGAGGTGTCTCTTCATCCCACTTCGGCCTAAGGCTCGAGCCTGCTCAATCAGCATAGACACAACAGTTTCCACCTCTTCCTAAAAAGCAGAAGGAAAGAAATCGAGCATGCCGTGTTACCATACCAAGAGAAAATAAGTCGAAATCAACATTTTAATTTTGGTGAGATCCATGAATTTCTACTCAGGTGGCATTCTGTCAAATGCCACCAAATAAAAGTGCCTACAGGGTGAGAAATTTCAACTGTCAAATTAATTACTGAAGCCTGTACTATCTGCCATGAATAGAAATGGTCCCGATAAATAAAAATATTGAGTGTTTTACTCAGGTTTTATGGACTATGTCAAACAAAGCATTTCATACAGAGGGACAAGTCGTGGCACATGAAATCGCTATCAGCTTTCCCCAGAAAGGATTACCAGGCTGTGGAAAGTGTTCACCAGTGGAAAAGATGACAGCTGGAGGGAGTTCTGAGCAGCGCTACACCTAGAGAAGGCACTCAGGCTTGCTCGGTGGTTTTTTCCAGCAATGCGCCCACTCACCACCTTCAGGATGTGCTGTGAACATGCCCCGGAAGAGGGGTGCAGCAGCAGCACCTGTGCAGCGGGACACACCTGCTCTGCTCTGCTCCATTCTGGTATATAACAGGGCCCGCAGAGTGAAGTATAGACTTTGCTTTGGAATCAGCTATTAAATTTAGAATAGATATAACCCTCTGTAGACAGAACTCCCTGACAATTCCGTCAGTGGACGAACATATCCAACCAATCTTTATGTAATTAAGTAACCACAAAATATAATAAAACATGAGACAAATAGCTCACTAATATAACAGGCCTGTGGTACTGCCTGAACAAGTCTGTTCATCACAGAAAAAAAGTCCACAGGAATTACCTGGCCAGTAAGAAATGCTAATATGTCTCCATCTCCCTCTGTCTGGTGAATTTTCATCACAGTCTCTACAGTTGATTTAATATAATCTGGAACAGGACTGAAAAGATATATGAGATAAGATCATCACCAGAATATGCTTGTTAATTATGCATCGACTACTCAATAACCTGGCAGCAATGCTTTGTGGAAGTTACTTTGGGTCTGCATGGCAGGAAATCATATGAAGAAAGAAGATACATATTCTTTTTTTTCTTTTTTTAAATGTAGCATTCAAAACTTATTCACAATTGCATATAAACTATGATGATTTTTTGTTTATTTGTAAAGAAGTAAAAGCACAAACTTATGCAAACAGGTGTGCTATCACTAGCATGCAGAGACGCCTGGCCAGTGAAACTGGGGGGCCATGGTGCTGAAGCTGTGCCCAATTCCTTCCTGATCACACAGCATGTGTGAGCTGGAAGATTGGACTGCTAGGTGTGCTCCCCAGCTACGACTCAGAAGCCAGGCCCACAACCCTCTGAATTTACCAGGCATTGGACCAGGATATTGGTCTTTTATTTGACCAGTGACTAGGATGGGGGTGACCCTTCCTGTCCAAAAGGGTTGGTCGTAAATAAGCCAACCAGGTCTTCCTTCTTGCTAAGAAGAGGAGCTCAGTACCAAATGATTCAGTAACTCACCAATACCGCCCACCAACTGACAGTCTTGTAAAACCTGATTTCTGAAACCTGTCAAGCCCTCCTCCCCATAGCCTGTTATCATGTGGTTTTTTTCCATCTGTGTGGCTGACCAGATATACATAGAAACCTGCACCTCAGTGGCAAGAATATAAACTGAACTCAGCAGGGATACCAAGCAGAGTTCCAGAACATCCTACCAGTGACAGGAAACGTAAAGTTGCTCCTCACCAGCTGGGTCCTCGGGCTGTGAACAGGTGCAGTCACTTCTCATTCTACAGGACAGGCCTAGTTTCTAATTGTGACCATTAAAAATGTATCATCAAACCTTTGTAGATAAAAGATATCCACTGGAAATGTCCGCCCTTCCACAGTAAGGATCACACATGTATCCCTGACGGGGTCGCTGGTGTCATTTTGATTAAAGAAATCCCGGAATTTCTAGGGAGAAAAAAAAAAATCAGTTCTTCATTGCTTTTTAAAAAATGGCTCATAATAATTCATGGAAAGGTAGTAAATAAAATGAAACTGGCAAAGCAAAGATGGGCAGGAGGGGTTGGTTATATACAGATTATAGGTTGCAACGTTATTATTAAAAGTCACATTCTTACTAATTGCATTTTGGGGAAATCACATTTTAATGACAGACCCTACTAGAGGTTTGACAAAAACAATAAAAGATTAGACTTCCAAACTACAACCATTAGTATATTTGAGTCAATAAGTAGGTACGGTAACATTTAGTTTATTCTTACTCCGCTGTCTTTATTTAACCAAAAATTACGTTCCAGTTAAATATTCTAGTTTTTACAATTCAAGCTACATTTAGGCTGATGCATAGGTCTAATGTGGAAAGAGCAGATCTGCTCACAGATGGTTATCAATACATAAAGGTAATATGTACATCTATGACTAGCAGATATGTGCCTGGCCCCACAGCTCCAGATTCATATTTACTATCCCCTCCCCAGGAGACTTCAATCTGCACGAGAGCATGTCAGTGTCTTCTCCACCTTTATCTGCCCTACAGGCATTAGTTAGCTGGGGTAGGACATCATTAGACACTGCTCCAACACTCCCACAGCCCCCTGCTGAGAGAAGGGACTCTTGGCACTTCTTCCCAAATAGGTACCCCCTTCTCTTCAATGCACTTGACCACCAGACATGCAGAGCACAGGGAAGCCGGGCATGAGAGCTCGGGCCAATGATGGGGCAGGGAGATCTACCAAAGATCCTCCTCTCTCGGGAAATGTAACCCAAGATACACAGAGAAGCAGAGACCGAAAAGAGCTGAGAAGAACCCAAACCGGCCAGTGAGTGCTGACCAGGGTGCGGCTGTGCAGTGGATGGGGAGGCAGAGATGTGCCGCCTGATGCAGCTGCCATTATCTGACATGTATGGCCTTCCTGTTCCCCAATTACATCCCAGTTCCCCTGGGTCCTCGCTGGGCATTAGTTTCTATTCTCCTAGGAGGCCTGGCTATGTAGTTCCAAGTCCTGTCTTCTTTGTTCCCCACGTATCTCTACAAAGCACATCATGCCTGCTCTGAGGAACAGGGAGTCCAGGGATGCCCGGAACACATGTGAATGCATCCAACACAAAGCCAAGGGCTGGAGGTTCACTGCTGAAAGCACCAACTGAACTGAACAAAGCATTTGGGTGCCATACCTCAACCTCAAAATTGTGTTGGAGAAGAGCAAGCACAAGCATTAAAGCGCCTCGTGCCAACAAGACCCTTGCTGTGTCATGAGGAACACATGGCATTGTGCGTCACTTTCCTCTGGGGCAAATACCCTTCAAGTGGCTTCAGCCTTTCCATGCCCTATGATGGGCACAGCACACACACACTAGAGGCAAGGCACAAATAAATGAGGAGAAACAGGCTGGGTAATCCAGAGACATGTGCAAAGAGCCAGTCATGAAGCAGGCAGAATGACTAAGTGACCAGAAAAGAGCTGCACATTACACCCTCAAAGAAGAAAAGGTACATAATTACTGGGTTTTGGGGAAGGCTTCCTGGAAGTGGCATAACCCTCAGCTAAGGAAACGAGACAGCCCTTCCCAGAATGACAGCAGATGCATACTAAGGCAGAAAGGGGCCCCTGACAGAGGTGAGAGCCCAAGATCAAGGGAGGGCCAGTCTCGCCTCTGGGTTATCCCCATTGGATACAAAATGGACAAACTGCTGTCTACTCCCTGCGATACGGCAACGGCCACAGGCCTGGCCTCGCAGTACTTGAGGGACTTCAGTTATCACTCTGAAGCAGCCAAATGGCATGCTACGTGAACACTGTATTCCATGGGCAAGACAAGGGCATGCTATCATAAGACCTTCTTCTGGGTGCCTAACTCTGGTCGCCATTTTGGAAAACAAGAGGGGCAGGAGTCAGAAGGCAAGCAGGCTGATGAAAGAAGCTATTATGATAGCTCAGGGGAGAGAGAATGAGAGCATGAACAAGGCAGGAGCTTGTGAAAATAGAGCATTCCAGAGGTTCAGCTGGCAGGACCTGGCCGTCAGTGACAAGGGCACACACATGAATGTTGGGGAGAAGGATGGAATTACTTAGTTTTCAACCTGAGATAAAAACTTCCTCAAGTCATGGAAGTTCTGAGCCTGACTGATTAGGATGAGAAGGAACTATCATCCAGATCTGTAGGAGTGTCAGGTCTATGACTTTCGGTGGCCTGTGACTAGCCAGCTCAGGCTGGAGCCGGGAGCACAGTCAAGATGACACAGCACCAAGTGTCCACAAAACCAGAGGGGTGGGCGGTCATGGAGAGGAAGAGCAGTCAGCAAAGAAGCCTGAGGGAAAGCTACAGGGAGGGAGGAGAGGTTGCCAGGCTCCAGGGTCTGTGGGAGGAGGAAGAGGAAGATGTTCAGAAGGGCTTGGGGATCACAGTTGAATGTCACCAAAAGCCAAGCAGATCAGGGAGGAAGACGGTACCATGATGATTTGGTTGGAGTGGATGGCCACACCTTAGCTGCTGAAGGAGTACATGGTGCTGAAGAGTAAAGACAGGGAGTTACTCTTCCCAGAAATGACATTCAGCATTTACAGAGAAGGCAAAAGATCTTTATCCTAAAGGTTTTTGTCTTTTATCCTTATTTGGAAATACAAAATACATATAGAGAAACCACAGGCTAGAAAGTAGATATCCTATCAACAGCACCTGCATCTCGAAGCAGAATGGGGAACAGGAAGAGGGAAGGGGGTGAAGGCCCCTGGAAAGGAAGACCTTCAGTCAGGCAGAAAGAAGCAGGATCCCCCCCCGACACAGACACACACAAGAAATTTAAAATCTTGTAAAGGAAGAGAATTGTCTATGAAATGGGGTAAGAGAATATGGACGTGTGCTGGGACATCTTCCCACTTCACCACAGCTTCTCTCCCCAATGGCTGCTCCCACCTGGCCCACAGGAGTGGGCTGTCAGCAGCTGTGCCTGCATAGCTCACCTACCCCTGGCCCACAGTCCTTAGCTTGTGCAGACCAGACCCGAGTGGGCAACTGACCCCAGTTCCTTCTCTAGGAATCTGGAAAGAGAAATTGGTTTCTCTCCTAGCTGGACCTATGACAAAAAGCTGTGGGAGTTGCCAGCAATCCTATTTTCTACCATGTGGATGGAAGCAAGTAAAAGAAAAACAATAGCATATGATACAATGGGCAATAAATATTTCATAACCATACCTGGTCATAGTCTATAATTGCTTGTTTAATTAGATACATCAACAAAGCAGCTAAACCAATCAAGGCAATGACTAGACCACCCCCGCCATACTCCCTCGCCTTTGCCTCCAGCTACAGTCACCGTGTCCTAGATGGCAGGCTGGGCCACCCAGGGCTCTAAGTGAAACCAGAGTAGGTGGCATCTAGTCCCCTAGGCAGTGGGGCCTGGAATTGGTCTATGGCTCACAGAACCAGCAGCTGGGAGGCTGGAAATGAGAGTTCTAGCACCCCTGAGCCTCTAGTCCAAATACCATGGAAGCCATACCCTGTCCAATCCCACATGCACCAGCTCGCCCACTTCAGCCCACAATTTCCCTCTTCCCAACTCTCTTACCCTCACTTGGGAACCAAATGCTCCACTCCCACCCACACCCACCCACCCCATACCCTCCCTCACACAGGCCTGAATCCCCCCAGAAATCCCCCCTATAGACACAGACCTCACCTTCCACTCACTGGGTGAGGGGAGGCACTGGGTGAGGAGGCAAGGAAGAGACGAAGATGAAAGAATGGCTCAGCTCACTAAAGGCCCCACTGCCAGTGACCTGGCAATCCTTGCATCGCAGCACACATAGACAAGATGAACTTCCTACATTTTACCTTCCTGCTTAAAAACACTACTTCCAGTAAAGCTGATCTATATCAATTACTATAGTAAGAACTGCAAGATTTTTTTTCTGGGCATATTTAAAATATTTCTTTAAATTTATTTTTAATTGAGGTAATCTTGGAATACCCCATCAGGGATTGCCAACATAGCGCACCTACCATGATAGTGCCCCTGCCACCAATGCACCCAAAGCCCACCACCACAGACCATGTGCGCTTCTGACTTACTTCACTTATTATCATCCCTTCAAGCTCCATCCATGTTGCTGCAAATGGCAAGAGTTTATCTTTTTTGTTCGCTAAATGGTATCCCACTATGTATATATACCACATCTTCTTGATCTACTCACCTGTTCTGGGGCACTTACTTTGTTGCCATAATTTAGCTATAGTAAATAGCACTGCAATAAACATGGGAGTGCAAGTTTCCTTCTGAATTAATAACTGAAAGATTTAAATCTCCGTGTCACACCAAGAGTTAATGAGAGGCAATTACAGGCAATAAACATTGACAATAATTCTAAGAAAAGATTTGGATATTATACTTTCAAACATAATAAAAACTACTGGAAAAAAAAAACTTTAAGGGGGAAGAGGGTGACAAAGATAAGTAAGCAGAGGACAAAGTTCAGCACAACTTAGCCATCCAGATGATGGGAGGTGAGGCCAGGTGGGGGTTCGTGGGCAGAGCATTCCGGGTTCAATAGCATTCTGGTGGGCATCATGGGCAGAGGGGGTAAGAATTCAAGAACAGAGGACCCTTCACCCAAAACTTGCAATGAGCAGGCCTAAGTCAACAGACTTCTATAGCTGCAACAGAGTTGAAGACGCAAGCCTAGTGACACAGGCAGACATGTCTAAACCAGGCTGTTTTCCCCCTCTCGGGGTTGTCTGGCATCCCTGAAACCACAGGGAGATGGGAAGCTGGCCCTTTTCATACCTCAGCTGGATTACAGCACTGGCCTCCTGACTGGTATCTCCACATCTACTCTGCCCTCTTCTACGCACTAGCCAGAGTGCTCTTTCTAGAACCCAAATACAAGCAAGTATGCTTCCCCGGGAAGTCAGAGAGTGTATAAATCAACTGCAGTCAGCATCATGATTAGTAAATATTATATACATTTGTAATATGTGTGTATGTATATATATATATATATATAGCAAATATATATATATATATATATATCTCAAATGGCCAAAATTATTTGTTGAGTTGAATTACATGTTGAGTTGAATTGAAAGAATATAGTCATTAAGAGAGAAAAATATGTTTAACCTTAAAAACAGAAATGATTGTATACACACAAAAAAATCTAAATATAAATGTTAATAGTCTTAAATTCAAGAAGTACAGTGTCAAGTTGAAAAAAGTTAAAAAAAAAAAAAGCTGCTACCTGTACAAGGAGAAACACGTATGTGGAGAAACAAGACAAGTAGGTAATTATGAACTCAATTAATTACAGACTAATTTCCACCCACAAGCTAGAGATGAGTATCCTCTGATCCCATGGAATCTAGGACATCAGATGGCCCCACAGGGGAGGTAGGCCATTCTGCCAAAGATAAGCTCTGCCAAAGGAAACTTCTCAAGGGCATGTCCAACAATTCCAGGACTGGGGGCGGGGGGAGGCAGAAAAAGCTCATACCTCAGCATCCAGAGTAGCTGAAGCTACAATCAATCGAAGATCCCCCCGCTTTTTCTGAATCTAAAAGAGAAGGCATCAGGAAGCCATGTGAATAATGAAATATTTATAGATGAAATAATTTGCTTATCAGAAATACACTTCACAACAGTTCAGTGTGTATTTTTGGGCTGTGGGGGGGGTTACTGATAAAATAAGACTGACCACAGTGGGTAACTGTTAAGGTCACAGGTAAAAGGGATTCATTATGCTGGCCTTTTTTTTTTTTTTTTAAATAACAAGTTAATTTTATTTTTTATTTAAATTTTATTTTTATATTCCCCATACAATTACAACCCCCTTATTTTGACCCCAATCCCTCCTTTCCCTGCCCCCCACCCCCCATAGAGTGTCTCTGGTTCATAGTTGTTTGTTGGTTTTGACATTTTCTTTCTTATAGTTATTCTTTTTTCCTGGTCCCCTATTTAAGTTTTCTAGATTCCTGCTGTGAGTGAGACCATCCGGTATTTTTCTTTTTCTTTCTGTCTTATTTCGCTGAGCATGATCCCTTCCAGCACCATCCATGTTGCTGCAAATTGCATGTGTTTATCTTTTTTGAATGCTGAGTAATATTCCATGGTGTATATGTACCACATCTTCTTGATCCAGTCATCTATTTTTGGGCATTTGGGTTGTTTCCAAAGCTTAGCTATTGTAAATAGTGCTGCTATAAACATAGGGGTGCAGGTGCTCTTTGGAATGGATGTTTCTGTTTCCTTTGGGTAAATACCTAGGAGTGGAATTGCTGGATCATATGGAAGCTCTATGTTTAGTAGGTCAAGAAATCTCCACACAGCTCTCCATAGTGGTTGGACCAGTTTGCACTCCCACCTACAGTGCAGGAGAGTTCCTTTTTCTCCACAACCTCGCCAACATTTGTTGTTGCTATTTTTTTTAATATGTGCCATTCTCACTGGTGTGAGATGGTATCTCATGGTAGTTTTGATTTGCATTTCCCTGATTTAAGTGATGTTAAACATTTTTTCATATGCCAGTTGGTCATTTGCATTTCTTCAGAGAAGTTTCTTTTTAGCTCTTCTGCCCATTTTTTGACTGGATTATTTTCTTTGTTTTTGTTGAGTCTCATCAGCTCTTTGTAGATTTTTGTGATCAGTCCTTTATCATTAGTGTTGTGTGCAAAAATGTTCTCCCAGTCAGTGGGGTTTCTCTTTGTTTTTGTTATTGTCTCTTTTGCTGTGCAGAAGCTCTTTAATTTGATGTAATCCCAGCTGTTTATCTTTGCCTTCACTATCACTGCTTTGGATGATGTGTCTGTAAAGATGTCTTAGAGGCGCATGTCATGTAGTGTTTCGCCTATATTTCCTTCTATGTATTTTATGGTTTCAGGTCTTATGTCTAGTTCTTTAATACACTTTGAGTTGCTTTTTGTGCATGGTGTTAGGTAGTAGTCAAGCTTCATTCTTTTGCATGTAGCAACCCAGTTTTCCCAGCACCATTTATTGAACAAACTTTCTTTGCTCCAGTGCATATTCTTTGCTCCTTTGTCAAAGATTAGTTGACCATAAATCTGTGGGTTTATTTCTGGATTTTCTATTCGATTCCATTGGTCTGTGTGTCTGTTCTTGTTCCAGTACCATGCAGTTTTGATGATTATGACTTTGTGGTATAGTTTGAAGTCTGGGAGTGTGATGCCTCCATTTCTTTCTTTTTTTTTTCAGGAGAGCTTTGGCTACTTGGGGTTTTTGGTGATTCCATATGAATTTCATCAATAACTGTTCTATTTCTTTGAAGAATGACATTGAAATTTTTATTGGAATAGCATTGAATCTGTATATTACTTTTGGTAGGATGGCCATTTTAATAACGTTTATTCTTCCATCCATGAGCGGGGGATGTCTTTCCATTTCTTTGTGTCTTCTTCTATTTCTTTTAAGAGTGTTTTATAGTTTTCTTTGTATAGGTCCGTTACCTCTTTTGTTAGATTTATTCCCAAGTATTTGATATTTTTTTTGTTTTGATAATAAAAGGGATAGTTTTTTTAATTTCTTCTTCTTCAGATTTATTGTTTGTGTATAGGAAGGCTACTGACTTTTACGTGTTGATTTTGTATCCTGCCACTTTACTGAACTGATTGATTAGTTGAATTAGCTTTTCTGTGAAGTTTTTGGGGTTCTCTATGTATCCTATCATATCATCTGCAAATAATGATAGTTTGACTTCCTCTTTTCCTATTTGGATTCCTTGTATGTCTTTCTCTTGTCTTATTGCTCTGGCTAGGACTTCCAGCATTATATTGAAAAGCAGTGGTGAGAGTGGACATCCTTGTCTTGTTCCAGATCTTAATGGAAATGCTTTCAGCTTTTCACCATTGAGAATGATACTGGCTGTTGGCTTGTCATAGATGGCCTTTATGATGTTGAGGTATGTTCCTTGTATCCCAAGAATTTCAAGGGCTTTTATCATGAATGGGTGTTGCACTTTGTTGAAAGCTTTCTCAGCATCTATTGATATTATCATATGGTTTTTATATTTCTTTTTGTTGATGTGTTGGATAACATTGATTGATTTTCGGATGTTGAACCATCCTTGTGTCCCTGGAATGAATCCTACTTGGTCGTGGCGAATTATCTTATGGATACATTGTTGGATTCTGATAGCTAAAATTTTATTGAGGATTTTTGCATTGGTGTTCATTAGCGAGATTGGCCTGTAGTTTTCTTTTTTTGTGTTGTCCTTGTTCGGTTTTGGTACTAGTGTAATGTTTGCTTCATAGAACATGTTTGGTATTATCCCTTCCTTCTCAATTTTTTGGAAGAGTTTGTGAAGGACAGGCACTAATTCGTTTCTGAAAGTTTGGTAGAATTCATTTGTAAATCCATGAGGTCCTGGCCTTTTGTTTTTGGGAAGGTTTTTGATTACCATTTCAATTTCACTGCTTGTAATTGGTCTGTTTAGGTGTTCTATTTCTTCTTTATCTAGTTTTGGATGATTGTAGAGCTGTAGGAATTTGTCCATCTCCTCTAGATTGTTGAACTTGTTTCCATATAACTGTTCATAGTAGTTTCTGATTATTCTTTTGATTTCTGCTGTGTCCATTGTGATTTCTCCTCTTTCATTTGTGATCCTGTTTATTTGTGCTTTCTCCCTTTTTTCCTTTGTGAGCCTGGCTAAGGGTTTGTCTATTTTATTTATTTTTTTGAAGAACCAGCTGTTGGTTTCCTTGATCTTTTGGATTATTTTTTTAGTTTCGATTTCATTTATTTCTGCATTGGTTTTTTTTTTTTTTTTTCTGCTTTGGTTTTAATTATTTCTTTTCTTCTACTGGTTTTGGGGTTTTTTTGTTCTTTTTCTAGTTCTTTGAGCTTCGAGATTAGGTTGTTTCTTTGAGTTCTTTCTTGTTTCTTGATGTGAGCCTCTATTGTTATATATTTTCCTCTTATTACTGCTTTTGCTGCATCCCATACATTTAGGAAACTGGTGTCCTCCTTGTCATTCAATTCAAAGAATTTTTTAATTTCTTCTTTGATCTCCTCATTAGTCCAGTGGTCTTCCAGTAGTGTGGGTTTCAATCTGTTTTCTGTTTCTTTCTTCATAGAGGAAGGAAAGCTTGGCAGGATAGAGTATTCTTGGTTCGCATCTGTTGTCTTGAAGTCTGTTGACTATGTCCCTCCACTCTCTCCTTGTCCATAGTGTATTTTCGGAGAAATCTGATGTCAGTCTGATTGGTTTTCCTTTGTATGTTATCTGTTTCTTCTCTCTTGTCAGCTTCATTATTTTTGCCTTGTCTTGGATTCTTGGGAGCTTTACTATTATGTGTCTTGCTGTATTTTTCTTTTCATCATGGAAGTTTGGTGTTCTTCTTGCTTCTTGTGTATCAATTTTCAGCTCCTTCTTCATGTTTGGGAAGTTCTCTTCAATTATTTCCTTGAATATTTTCTCTGTTCCTAGGTCTCTCTCCTCTCCTTCTGGGATTCCTATAACTCTTATATTTCCTTTCCTCATGGAGTCAGATAGTTCCCGAAGTCTTTCTTCAGTCTTTTTCATTCGTACTTCTCTTTCCTTTTCTGTTTTGGTTCTTTTTATTTCTGTGTCTTCGAGAGTGCTTATTCGTTCTTCCATTTCCTCTATTCTGTTATCACTGCTTTTCCCAGCATTCTTTACCTCTTCTGTTAATCCTTTGATCTCCCGCATTTCCTTCATTTCCCTCTTTAGGGACTCAATTTCATTCTTCTGAGTGTTGTTTTCCTTGATGACTTCCATCAGTTTTTTCGTCACGGCAATTTTAAATTCTTTTTCTGGAAGGCTCAGAAGTTCTTCCAAGTCACCGTAGTTGCAAGCTGGTGGGTGGGATTTTTTTTGTGGTGTGTCTTTTTTTCTGAGGCATTGCTACTTTGCTTGTAGTTTTTCGTTTCCCTGCTGTCTGTCTTCTAATTTGCCTTACGCGTTGGGACACTGTGCCGCTGGTACCGGCTGGCATCTTTTTGGTGTGTTCTTTCGGGAGTTTCAGAAATTGGCAATCCAAACAAGTCAAGAACTGTTATGCCAGAAGTCTAGTGAGGCAGTGGTACTTTGAGTATGTTAATGGTCACTGTCACAGAATCTCTCCTCCTTCTGTGTTTAGTTACAAAGGTTCATCTTGAAGTCCCACAGACTTCCCTGGAGGTGGGGCAGCTGGATTGCACTCTGGCTTCCAAATCTCTGGCTCCTCCTCTGGGCTCTGACTTCCTGCCAGGTGCTTATGGGGGCTTTCAGCTCACCTCTGACTGCACAGGGAACCTTCTCCCTCTGGCTCCACGGGGAGCCTTCTGCCAGATTTAAGCAGTCTTTATTGAAGAAAGGTCCCTGTTCTTATGCTGGCCTTTCTAATTCTGTAAATATATAAAAGTTTCCAAAATAAAAAGCTAAAATAATGTTTTTTAGAAAGTATAAAGGAGATTTTAAGGCCTGAATTTGAAGCTACCATGAATAAAACCAATTTTTTTCTTGACTTCTGGGTCTCTGTATCACCAGAATATCAACGTATATATATATATATATATAGTTAAAGTATATACAAAAATATGAAATACAATATATAAAATAGTATATCAGTTTCATACAGAATACATGAAAAAGTACATGAGAAGCAAAAAATTAATGATAAAATCAAAACAGACATATAGACAAAAGAAAGAAACAGGTAATAGATAAAGTAAATGTAACAGGTGAAGTAGATTAGAAACAAAATATAAATGATAAAATCAAGACAAATACACAAAAAAGAAAGAAATCAAAGAAACTGGCATAAGAAAAATGATCAAATAAACTATAGCAAAAATACATAGCAATAATAAGATTTTTCTTTTTATCTATCACATCAGCAAATATTTATTGTTTTAAGGCTAATACTCAGTGTTATCGAAGATTCAGTAAAGTCCTCTTCTTAAACTGTTCCTGAGAAAGTAATAGCATGGTGGGATAACCCTCACTGATATCAAAAAGTCTTAATCTTTGGCCAAGGAATAATGAAAATAACAGTAATAACAACAGCTAACATATACTTAGTCAAGTGCTGTCCTGGGGACTAGTGGCTACCAAATAGGACAGTGTACCAGTGCACATGTAAAGATTTATATTATCCCCATTGTAGAATGAACACAGTAAAGTCAAAATTTTAACCCAGGGAGTATGACCTATCTACACTCTTAATCAGCCTGCTCTGCTACCTCTTTTTAACTGCTTGTGATGGGGAGTTTGTATTAAAAAAAAAAAAAATACAGGAAGGATGGGAGGTAAAGTTGAAACAAGACTGGCCACAAGTTTAAACTGTTGAAGCCAAATAATGGGTGTAGGGGAGGAGGGAGTCCTTAAACCTTTCACTCTACTCTGGGGTATGCCTGAAACTTTGCATTAAAAAAGTTTAAGCAAAATAAGAAAGGAAGAAACAAACATGTAACAGATTTAATCATAAAGGTCCTCACTGCAACATGGCTTAAAATCCTTGGAATCAAGAAGCTGTAAAATGCCCAACAATAGGGGGAGAGTCAAACACTTTCTGGTAAAGATATTAAAAATAATGTCTTCAAAAATTATGGTACACACACAACACAAAAATGAAGAAAACATACCAACATTCCCCCTTTTTTAAAAAAACAATGTATTTATTTATGCATACAAGAACTGGGGTACAGGCCAGAGGTGTAGGGGGTAAGAGGATTCACCAAAGACAGAGTGGGGAACAGAACTGGAGGATTAACCAAAGTGCACTGCTGAGGGGAACAGCAGGCAAGTCAGGAAAGGTCTGCTGCACCATGTGGGTTGCTCCCTGGCCAGCTGGGGATCAAACTCGTGCTGCAGTGGCTGCAGATAGCCTCATAGGTTGTGTCCTAACCCCTTGTGCCACCAGAGAGGCCCTCCCTTTTTTTTTTTTTTTTTTTTTTTAAGATTTATTTATACATACAAGAACTGAGTGTAGGCCAGAGGTAGGGGGCGGGGGGGTGGGCGGTGAGAGGATTCATTATAGACAGAGTAGGGAGCAGAACAGGCAGATCTACTGAAATACACTGCTGAGGGGAGCAGCGGGTGAGACTGGAGAGGTCTGCTGTGCCATGTGGGTCAGCTCCCTGGCCAAGAATCGAACTCATGCTGCAGTGGCTCACAATAGCTTCATAGCACTGAGACCTAACCGCAGCACCACCAGGGAGGCCCAATATATCAACATTCTATCTATGATTTTCTCTAAGTGGGCAGGAGCATAGACGATTTTAATTTTTATCTTTCCTATTTTATTGGACTTTCCAAATTGCTAAAATTACATTCCTAATCATACAACAAAACAAAACAAGAAAACAAAAATGTCTGGCAGCAAAATCATACCTTTTTCAGCAAGCCAATGGCAATATCAGTGTACAAGGTCCGCTCGTGGGCTTCATCCAGCATAATGACACTAAGAATCAAAGGGAAGAGCTCAGTGAACATTAAACAAACCACCCAAATCATCCCATCCAGGTCATAGAAGGGACTTCTGGGTAGTTATTCCCCATGCAATCAATCACCTGTACCACAGATAAAGTTTTAACTCTTCTCTGACAAGGATATAACTCCTCAGCTAATAAGAATGGTGACATCAACACATCTTGGTAAAGAAAATGATGTATTTAATTGCTACCTTTAAAGAGTCTTTCCCAAAAGGCTCTAATACCTGACTTAAATTACAATAGAACACAAAGCCCCACAGAACACATACAATTTAGAACAAGGACCAGCCTCCCAAAGATTGAGCTGCAGAAAACAGCACAAAGAGGCACGTGGTCACAGCTATGTCTCCTGTGCATCAGCAAGTCAAATCTGACATCCTTTCTCAGAACACCACAGAGACTGGGTGGGGCAACACTAATGCCTCAAGTGATGGGACAAAGACAATCAAGGAGAGAGAGTGTAAATAATTATTTGGATCCTACATACTACAGTCAACAAAATGCTGACCAGGTCTGTGCTGTGAGTACAGTCTCCATCAAGCCTGAGCTAGAAAGGGAAAAAGAAGAAAATGACAAGCCATCATGTCTCAAATAATAACTGGCATCTTATGTGCCTGTTTTTGACTCTGTAAATACTGAGAAAAAAATTGATAGTTGGAATAGACAAAATAAGGAGAAAAGGTTTGGGGCAGCTGAGCGCAGAGACAAATCCCAGCTACTACCCTGCTCAATCTACTTGGACACTTTTGAAACATTAGGAAAGTACCCATAGGAACAACATGTTTACCTGTATTTTGTTAACAGTGGATCAACCATCATTTCCCTGACCAGCATTCCATCAGTCAGAAACTATAAAACAAAACCACAAAGTTTTAGAAATAACTCACTTACAGTTAGATAGTTGTTTTTTTTAAACCTTCAGGTGCAACCAAGCCCATACAACCTCTGTACGGGTCGGTATACAAGACAATTCCCACAAAGGACCAGGAGGAAATGCCCTAGTATTTTAGTTCTCGAGCAATGGAATTGACAAACAAGATTCCAAAGAGGGGAGCCTCAGCAAGGGTGGGCAAATTTTTCAGCAAAATTTCACCTGCATTGACTATCTGAACATCAGCTCTGGCCCATTTCCATGGTACTCCTGATGAACACTATGACCAAATGGAACACAAAAGCTTTTCATGTACGACTCAAAAATAACATGCGGTTACACTTGCTGAGTGGGAATGTCGGGACTCTCTTGTCACTGATTTCTACTTTTCTCTATCATCCGTGGACTCCGAGGGTGCTCAGAACGACCAAGCTGTGACCCTTGGAACCCTGGACACCCAGGAGATCCGATGGCTCAGACAAGGCGTTCTGCTAGGTCGGCACCTAGGCGAGAGTCACGGAGGCCAAACAGCAAAAAAAAAAAAAAAATAAAAAAAATAACATGCGGTTATGTAATCCACTGAAATTTGTCTAAAAATTAGCGAGGTTCCTTTATCCTATAAAACTGATGTCAAAGGTAATAAAATACAGAAATTTGGAAAATGAAGTCTCTCTTTTCACAAATCACTACATTGCTCATTTAGCTCATCTGATTAGTTTCAATTTCTTCTGTTGCAAATTGAAAGGTGAAATCTAATAACCAATTTTCATTTCACCAGAGCATTTTTATTCAGTGCCTTAGAGTACTAACTGATTCGACTGATTTCAGCCTAGCAGTACACAGTACACACTTGTTGACTGCACATTGATTACTACTGTCACTATTTTAATATTGGCAACTAGGTCAAAGAATATGTACGTAAAATCCATCATCATGGAAAAATTCTAGTGAGTAGGGCCTCCCTGGTGGCACAAGGGTTAAGACGCAACCTATGAAGCTGTCCGCAGCCTCTGCAGCATGAGTTCGATCCCCCTAGCCGGCTAGGGAGCAACTCACATGGCGCAGCAGACTTGCCCTCTGCTTCCCTCAGCAGTGCACTGTGGTCAATCTGCCTGTTCTGTTCCCCACTGTCTCTGGTGAATCCTCTCAACCCCACACACATACCTGTGGCCTGTACCCCAGCTCTTCTATGTATAAATAATAAATAAAACTTTAAAAAAAAATTCTAGTGAGTAAAAATGACATTTGTGAATTCTCTATTTTATCAATCCATACTGTCCCTGTTTTTAAGACTTCTACAGGGAATTTCTATATTTAGACTTCAGCATACAGTTTGGTGGGGAAACAGTCAAACATACATGAGACAGAACAGCTTTGAGTCCTGGTTCTATTACTTGCAGGCACAACCAGGAATTCATTCAACCCCCAGTCCTCAACCCCTTTATATGTAGAACCAAAGATCTAAACTTATTCCAAGATCCTTTCTGGGCTAAGATTCAAAGACTCTTTGAAAGAGCTCTAGACCTCCCAGCAGACTTACTTCCCCAAGGGCCAGGGTGATTCTATACACTTTCTGCTATGGTACCACCAGTGGCAGTGGTCCGGCCAAGCAGCAGGTGCATGTTTTAACTGCCCCCAAATAATCTCCCTTATTTTCAACAGGAAAAGCAGCCTGAGCACCTCACCTTTATGCGCGTAGCTAGCGGGTCAGTGCAGTCATCAAAGCGTATGCAGTAACCCACCTCGTGACCCAGCACCGCACCCCGTTCCTCAGCTACTCTCCCTGCAACCTTTGGGAAGAAAGATCATGCTGAAAATAGAGACACAGAAATTACTGCACAGAGCACATACTATGGAAAATCTAAAGGTCACTTATTTTTAAATAGTAGGTGAACACAGTGGAGAATGAGAAGGGGCAGGTTATTAGAAAACAAGTGTGATGTCCTTTGCAATTTGTTAACTTTATATATCTCACCTCATTCTATAAATGACCTGAGACCACTTATAATAACATATGAAATAAAAATGGAATCAAGTAAAAATGTTACAGATCACGATGCAAGAAATTACAAATAAAGTCCAAATGATCAAAGCCAATGAGAGACAGCCAAAAACAAAGATATGCCAAAGTTATTTAAATTGAGTCACAAATTCAGCTCTAAATTTCCTGGTGACCAAAACAGAAAATATGACAAGATTCATCCTGTTCCTAAAGCAGCACACCAATTGGAGCCACGTTTTCATTTTTCCATGCCTTGAAAGAAAGCATTTTCCACTGGACCATGAAGACAGGAAAACAGGAATGATTAAATTCAATACCGAGCCAAGTTAATTTTCTCTTTGGAGACAAAAGGTACAACTTTTCAAAAGTCAGATAACCGAAAACAATTTGGAAGAGTTGCAGTTGCCAAAACCAGTGAAGGGGAAATAAAGACAAGAATACAGATTTAACAAAAAAATAAATAAGGCAACGAGCAGATAAGAACATTAACTAAGGGGCCTCCCCGGTGGCGCAGCGGTTGAGCGCTGGGTTGCGAAGCTGCCGGCGACCTCTGCGGCGCTGGTTCGATCCCCAGCTGCTCCCCGGCCACCGGAGGAGGGTCCCACATGGCGCCCAGACCTCTCCTGCCGCCCGCTGCTCCCCTCAGCAGTGTACTTTGGTCCTTCTGCCTGCTCTGCTCCCCGCTCTGGCTCTGGTGAATTCTCTCACCCTCCCGCGCTTCTGACTGTACCCAGTGCATGTATAAACAAAGAAACAAACAAACAAACAAATAAATAAAACATGCCTCTATTTAAAAAAAAAAAAAAAGAACATTAACTAAGGATCCAAGTTACACAGCACAGTTAAAAAAAAAAAAAACTACATTATGAAGCCATAAACCCACCAGTGTATACAAAAGGTGAGCATAGGAAAGTGGAGCCAACAGCAACATCCTCTATTGCCCCCCTAGAAGTCTATTCAAAGGTTATTATTACCTTACTAACAGAAAATATTTGAAATAATAAAAAATATTAACATAGAACAGCAATAACGCTTATAATTCAGTTATATTTAAAAGAAAATAAGGAGTTTAACATTGATTATATGAACTATCTAAACTGGCAAAAACCAAAGGGAAGCAATACTAGAGGTTTTCTGGGGACTGGTCCACCCACCCCCTTGTGAAGCAGGCATTTCTCCCTCTTTCATGGGTGAGCATCTCGTGGCAGCATCCCCAAGCTCAGGAGCCCAGGGCGCCCAGCCCTCTGCTCTCAGAGTCGAGCGCTACGGAGTAATCTGGCCATCAGCGTTTAAGAAACTGAGGAGCAGATGAACATCAGAAGTGACTCTGCTTAATGACTTGCTATTACAAACTTCATAGGCCAAAACAGAATCAATCATTGAGCAGCTGGTCTATACTACGCAGTCTTTCAAAACATCTTATGAAACCAGAAATTCATAGCACATTGCTTTACTCTGGAGGTTATTATATTCCCAATAACCAGCATTTCACCAGGAGTGTTTGTCACTGTTATTGTTTCAAGTTCAACCCTACAGATCCTTATACTGTAAGTCTTGGAGAACAGCACAAACAGAGGATGTGTGCATAGAGTGATACTAGGAGTTTATGGGGAAAACAGGCTTTGAGAGCACAAGTGAAGCAGCCCTCCCTCTCCATGACAATGTAATCATTTTATGGGTCTAAAAAGTAAGAATCCAGGGGCCTCCCTGGTGGCGCAAGGGGTTAAGAGGCAACCTATGAAGCTATCTGCAGCCACTGCAACACGAGTTCAATCCCCTGGGCCGCCAGGGAGCAACCCATATGGCGCAGCACACCTTCTGACTCGCCCTCACCCGCTGCTCTCCTCAGCAGTGTACTTCGGTCAATCGCCTGTTCTGTTCCTCACTCTGTCTCTGGCAAATCCTCTCATCCCCCCGCACCTCTGGCCTGTACCCCAGCTCTTGTATGCATAAATAAATCAATCTTAAAAAAAAAATAATAAAAAGTAAGAACCCAACAGATTTATTCTTATTATTCCACTATTTGTATACGTTTGCATAGAATATGTATTGTTTCCAAACTCTTTATCATTCATGATCATACCACTTGACATTGGAGAGGTCATATTCTACTGAGTGTTTAACAGATCTTTACCACTATTGTTTAAGTTCTACTCCCAAGAACATCAGCAACTAGATTGGATAAATAAGATTTTTTTGACAGAAACAAATAAAAGAAAGGGAGGTAAAAAAGAAAGAAAAACCAATCACTGAACCCTTCCTAAGTGGCACGTGCTGTGCTGCAAGTCTCTACTAGTCTATCTCATTAAACATATGCACAGGCCCTGAGGTGGGCAAGACACCCCCCTTTTAACAAAGAAATTGAAATAAGACAGGCGTCAGAGCTTACCCTGAGTCACAGGTCAAGGCAGAGGCTAGACCAAAGAGGTCCAATGAGCACGCCTCTCACGGAGCTCAAGCAACAGCTTATGTAATCTGTTCTTAGTTTCTGACATTGTTTTCAGATTTTGGTCTGTACACAAAGTACTTTTTGAGATGTAGCATTTTAAACTTGACAGCTCTATTAATACTACATGGTTAATTTATAAACTCTTTGTTCTTTCAAGAGAAAGTATGTGGTTTCATGGAAATTATCCATGGGTACAAATTTGGAGTTAAAATCCAAACTGAGTAAGAGCTGGGATTCCGAACCCTAACTGGGAAAAATTGTTCTAATTGTTAAGTAACTGAGTCATCATTCAGTGGCATAAAAGGTTAGCCCCATTTTTTACCCATACATGAAAAACAAGACTTGGAAAGTCTTCATCAATAATTTCAGTGGGCAGTGTGTTCAGGCCAGAAGACAGAGTAAATGTCTCAGTGAAGAGCCATTCTGACAACAAAGAATCCAGAAGTTGAAGGAGAAAGCAGGCAGGAAGGCAAAGTATCAAATCCCTAGTCAGAGCGGCCACAGATTTTTATTATGAGCCAAACAGACCTCTCAAATAACTGAAGAGCACACTACAGATCCCACCCAGCAAGGAGTTAAGAAAGATGAGGAGAGGCCATGCATTATCCAGACCAACATAACCTCACAATTCTGCAGCAATCAGAGGTCCCACTCAACGGTGAGTAATTACCATAAAAGTACTTACATAAGATTAAATCACCATTAAAGCTCATGGATACAGAAGGAAAAAGGGAAGAAACGAATATAAGTGAAAAAGCAGTTTAAAAAGAAACTGTAAAAGTGTTACCCAGAAACAGCAGAATTCAGCCAAAGACATCCACTTTCAGAGTAATTACAAGCTTAAGCTAAAAAGAACTTGGGGAGAGACACAAAATCAAAGGAAAGTTGAAGACACATGAGGTCTCAAATGTGTCAGTCTGCAGAAGTCCTCCAAATCTCACAGCTTGGAAATGAAAGAGCTAGAGCCATTTTCCAATTTGAGAACCATGTCACAAGTAGCCAGTTACAAAGATAAAGCAACTTTTTCACAGTGCCACTAATAAGCAAATTTGAATCAATCATGCTAGAGAAATAATTAAAATATCGCTCCATTCTCTCTGTAGGAAAACAATAGAAAAATCACTGTCATGTGAAGAGGTGATCAACTGGAATACAACCAAAAATTACAGAAAAAAAGAATTTACAGAAATGTGTTATACAGTTAATAAAAACACTTTCAATTTTTAAAAAATTTTTGTATTATCAGCCGTTAAAATTTATATTATAATATCATCTCCCATTCTACACATGCACTTCTCTACCTAGTAAAGAAAAAAAAAAAGCATTCGAAGATGTAATGCTAGAGATATAATGGAACCAAAATAGAATAAATTTGACTAAAAACAATCATGAACATTGTGGGCAGGCTTGAAGAAAATCCACAAAACAAAATACAAAAGAATAGATGACTCCAGAGATGTGATATATGCTAATAATAAGACAAAGAAAATCTAATATACACTTAATTGATGCTAAAATAAATGGAACAGAAAAGCATGCTGAGATATCATAAAAGAAAACTTGCCTGATATAAAGAGACTTGAACCTGAAAGTTCTCCCATATTTAGGAAAACAGAAAACAAGACATAAATCAAGACATCAAGACATATCCTGACACAAAAACAATCTCACGAGCATTCAAGGAGAAAAAGCAAGCCAGAAAATGGGGGGGGGAGAAACCCACTAGATTTCTGTACAGTGATCCTCCATGTTAAGAGGCAATGGAGCAAGGTCTGCACAGTTCCTGGGGAAAGAGAGCATGAATCAAGAATCTTTTATCAACAAAGACCACAATCAGTCTCAGGGATATAAAATGCAAGCAATCAAGAAATAAAGGGAAATGAATAAGTCAGGATCAGCAAAAACATGGAAAACAAATAGTGATGAACATTACATCTATTTAAACTAGTATTAGAGTTAAACCTCTTGGGAGTTTAAGTTGAAAGAACTTAAGTTATAAATCTTGAAATAAACATTACAGGGCTGGATCTATAGCAAGTGGCAAGGAAAGGTAAGTAGAATAAATGTACTATACTACTCTTCTTTTACAACAGGAAATACAGCATAGTTCAAAAATAAGTAACATCCTAAAGTTTTTTGTATTTTTTTCCTTAGTTTTCAAACTTTAATAAAGGCTCTATGGTGAACAAATATCTATCCAAAGTTCAGTAACTACACTTATTTCACTTGGTTCCTCTTTCACTAAATACAACAAAAGTAAACACACCAAGCTGCAATCCCTTTTTTATAAAATAATTTCTATCCATCCAGCCAAACATTCCTCTTTATGTAAAAATAAGCTTAGAATGATGCCACAAATGTTCACAATGTTTTTCCTGGGTGGTGAGATCTGCCTTTTTCGCTGCTGCTGTTTTGTTTAACTTTATTACTATTTAAAATTTTAATGTACAGTATCAATTTTGCAAAAGTAGTAAGATCACAGTTAATTTTTAAATAACTTGAAAAATTAATTTCATAAGGAGCAACATCATACTTATTTTGAGTGTTTAGGAAATGAAGAAAAAATTAGTGAAACAGAAGAACAGAGAGTCTTTGCAATATCAAAAAAGTAACTCACAGTAACAGCAGCCACTCTTCGAGGCTGGGTCACTCCTACAACTCTTCCTTCCGCTGTCCAGCCAGCCTCTGCAAGATACTACAAATAAAATGACATCTAAGTATGCATCTGACACCACTGCTCCAGAACAATCCCCCCCAAAATGCCCTGCATTGTGTTAAAACCATTGAGAAAATAAACAACAGATGGTTCTTGTACTAGCAGACATTTTGGAGATTGTTTTGAAATAAGAGATATGAAGCTTACAACTGTGAGGTAATTTGCTTAAATTCATATCAGAGCTGATAAACAGAAGAACCAAGGCACACATTCAACATTCTGAATCCCCAGTCCTACAAAATGTCTACGGACTACAACTATCTCGGAAAATAAAACTACCCATGGATCTCTCCCAATCTCTAAATCTGTAGAACAAAGAATTTTAGGTACACTGAGAGAGTGTGTGCCAATAACATATGTACCAATATAAATGCCAATCATTCAAGATATTTTATCATTTCAAGTAAAAATAATTAGATATTACACACATACTACCTGCCATTAGATCTGTTAGTATACTTAACGCTAGCTTATATGTATTTATCTGATTTGTTTATCTGACATACTTGTATTTCTTTGTTATATAGTGAGTTGATTACATGCATTTTTAAAAACCAAAATGAGTAGCAGTGACTACCACAGTTACATGTTCCTGTAATGTCTCATTTTACAAAGATGTATACATTACTTCTTACAGTGGGGGAAAAAGATTTAAAATGGTATTACATCTATCTGCTTATTTATTCAAAGAAACAAAGGAAAGATAAACCAGAAACTAAAGAGAATGGGTGTCTCTGGAGGCAGGGGAGGAAAAAACAGGAGGGGGCAGTGGAAACAGGGCAGTAGGGAAGAGGGAGGGCCAACACTCTGAGTACATGGTTTTTATGCGGCTCCAACTCTCAGAACCACAGTCAAGTTCCACATAATCTTCAAACACTCCAAAATAAATAGAACCAACCAGGGTGTGGAGGGAAATCAAAAGGAAACGCAAACACTAACAAATCACCCTTCAGTATTACAAATGAACCACATTAACTGAGGGGGCGGGGGAGATAGGAGCCAATCTAAGTATGTGGGAAACAGGATCTTGACTAGATGCTGTATAAAGTTAATGACAAAAATAACTGCACTTAAACGCTGTGATCTAGTTAGTAACCAAGCAGGGGCATTGTTTAGCAATTCTGAAACTATTTTATGAATATACTAGAATTTAACGAGTAAGTACATATTATAGAGAACGAGGACTGAGTTTCTCACAGCTGGAGAGAAGTTACAAGTAAGGAAAGGCTAAAATAAGCCCTATGGTGTTGGACTGGAATCAGAAGTATCAGCATAAATGGATGATTTTTAATATACGGAGATATTTAGATTTTTTTATGTGTGGGTTAATATTAACACATATATTTCCTAAGTTGCCCATTGAGACTTAGAGAAATGACAACTCATTAGCAATGAGCACCCTAGAATCCAAATTTCGATTTCAAAGACCATTCTCCAATAAAAGGATCCAGGATTTCTTGGAGAAGCAGGTGACCCAAGGCAGTGCAGGAAAGTAGAAGACAAGCCTGAAATGTCTGTTGTACCAGCAAGGAAGGACACATTCAAGGAAAGGATAAAAGCTTTTAGAAAGAACAAGGAGTCAAACCGAAGGCGTTCCTAATGATGAAAACCAGACCATCCTGAGCAACAAAATATATGATGATAGTATATGATGATATGATGATAGAACAAAATAAATATCCATTAAGCTATGCCAATATGTATAAATAAGTGGATATATAAGAAGATTCCACTAAATAAAGGTAGAAGGAGAAAGGAAAAGAAAATCATCACAAGACAAAACACTTGAGTTACTGCTGCAGACAGTATCTATCTAAAATATATGGCAAGTTTGAAGAGAAGCAGAGTATTTGCGATCTGGAAATATCTTCCCCAAGACACAGATGGTTCTCAAATAACCTTCTTTCAATCAACGTTATTTCCCTCAATAGTTTGTAATTTCATTGTAAAGTTTGTGAGAGGAAAACAACAAACAATCCTAGCCAAGAATGAATAAAATGTTATTCAAGGGTCTAGTTTCTTTATTATATAGTTTTGCTTAAGATGCAGTTTCCAAGTACCCACTGACAGTGTTAAGTGAGGACTTAGTTACTGACTACAATGGGAAGAATGACCACTTTGTAAAGTGAGACCTGGCACCTTCAACAAGTGATCGAGACTCACCTCAACAGTTATAAGACGCCAGCATCTCCAGCTTCTTGATACTATGCACTAAGGACGCATTATTTGTGTAACTTTGACAAAAAGCATCAGTTTGTCCTACTCATGAGAAAACACCACATAAACCCAAATCAAGAGTCATCTATAAAAATAAATGCCCAGTACTCATCAAAAACATCAAGGTCATGAGGAAAGACTGAGGAAGTCTCACCAATGGGAGGAAACTAGAAAGAAATAACACCCAAATGTAATAGAGGACCTTGGGTCTCAGAACCAAAAAAGAACACTGGTGGGGGAAGTGATGAGATTTAAATAAAATCTGTAGTCTAGCAACATTATAGCAACATTAACATCTGCCTTTGATTACTGTACTAGGGGTAGTAGTGGGAGGGGCATAAAGGGATTCTGTATTATTTTTGCAACTCTGTGTTAATCTAAAATTAGTTGAAACATGATAGTTTTTAAAAAATGAGTGGAAGGAACAAAATGTTTTTTTGCTATAAAAAACTTGTGTGTAGTAAACTTGTGTGTGAACTTGTATTAAACATATATACATATTACCATTCATCCCAATGCACACAAATGAGCACCTTCACATAGCTCAGATTCACCAAGTACATCACCAGGTGCCAGGAAGTGTGCTAAGCTCCCTGCACACATAACCCTGCTTAATCCTCACAACAAATCCTATGCGGAAGGTAATCACATGATTAACAATTTAGAGATGAGGAAATCAAGAAGTCAAAGAACTTGTCCAAGGACAGTGATAAAAATCTAGAGCTGGGGGCCTCCCTGGTGGTGCAGTGGTTGAGTGCTGGGTTGCAAAGCTGCCCACAGCCTCTGCAGCGCTGGTTCAATCCCCGGCTGCCAGCAAGGGTCCCACATGGCACGCAGACCTCTCCTGCCGCCCACTGCGCCCCTCAGCAGTGTACTTCAGTCCTTCTGCCTGTTCTGCTCCCTGCTCTGGCTCTGGTGAATTCTCTCACCCTCCCGCGCTTCTGACTGTACCCAGTGCTTGTATTTTAAAAAAAAAAAAAAAACACTAGAGCTGGGATTCAGGCTCAGGAAACCAAAGCCCTGACACATAACCAGAATCAAACACACTCAGTCTCTCAGGAGCAGGATTAAGGAAAAGAAAAATAATCTCCATGATAATAAACAACCTGTCCATGAAGCCAGACTCCTCAATGCGCCTGTGATTCAAATTTTCACCCCGCTTACGATGACCACCAGGCAGAAATTTCAAGATACTGCAAGAGCAGGCCTAGTGTTGACATCAAGAGTGGTAGGATGTCATGGAAGGAGGTGGCTGAATTCCATCTCAGTTCTCTCCACTCTATGTAAGGGTCACCTGACCTGGTCTTCTAATTAGTGGGTGGGGTGAGGAGGAACTCTACCAAACACAGTACAAATAAAAATTGTAGTGAAGAGCTGGTTTGCAGAGTCCATTGTTTCAACAGAGTTCTAGTAAAAAAAAGTCACAAAATTCTAGTTTATGGAATTTCAAAACTGGTGGCTGGTGCTTCATTATGCTGTGTTTGTTCCAAGGAAAGATATTACATAAATCTAGCAAGTCAGTTTGCAAAGAAAAACTTGCTCTGTATCTTTGCCATGACCTTCAGTTCCTCAGCTTTTCCAATTTCCTAGGCCATCACTCAAGAAATTGGAAACAGTGACTATCTCATAGAAGGGGAAATGAAGGGTGAAGAAAAAGGGAATGACCCTTCTACGGGAGGAGTGGCAGATATTTGGACCAGTAATATAATCTATCACAACGATCCAGTCGTTCTTACCAGCACCGCTTAGGAGTTTCACTTTGTCGCATTTATTCCTTTGTGCTTTTTGAATTCTGCACCACGTGATAGTGTTCCCTATTTAAAAAACACAGCGCTTATAATAAAAGCAAGTTCCTAAAAATAATTAAATTCAAATGCAAACGGTCCTTGACCCAGCAACTCCATAACTATCATAATTATTCTGAGTGCTATATCAGTTCGTGTGCAGAACTATATATATATATGCAAATTGACTCGCTGAATCATTGTGATGATGCAAACCTGGACACAAGCTACATGTCTATCCACAGGGAATTGGTAAAATGTAAAATCTCTTCTGTAAAAAGGACACATTAAAAACAGACAAGTTGTGTTAAAGAATGTATAGATAGCAACCATTCAAATCTTTTAAAAGGGGTGGGAGAATATATATTTATACACACACATTTCTCTGTCAATGTAATAAAAAATTGTTACCTAAGAAACTGACAACAGTGACACCTGCCTAAAGCAAGTAAACAGAAGAAGAGAGGGCAGAGGGAAACCTTTTCATGTCTTTCTTGCCTTTTGAATTTTAAACCACCTGCATCTACTAAATATTACCAAAAAATTTAAATAAATTTTAAAATTAAAGAAAAAAAAACAAAACCTACCTTCATTTCCTACCATACTGCCCAGGCTCTCAGACCCTAATCCTCAGACCCTATTCCTGTCTCTCCTTCAGGCCATTCTCTCCCTGGACTCAGTTCCTCAGCAGGCCCTCTCTGGTCTAAACAGTGAAACTGTCCTGGCAGAAATGACCAGATCGTTGTGCTGTATTGTTTTATTGATCCAAAAATGAGACAAAGGGAATCCTACCCTCTAGGAGGATTCTATATACACTACCACTCTACTGCTATCAGGCCTGGCCATGTCACTTGCTTTGACCAACAAGATGTGCCACTTCCAGTGAGAAGTTTTCAGTGCCACCCGGGGGTTCTGCCATCTCTTCCACAAGGTCCACAAGTTCCAGGAAGGGCTGTACCATCAGTTTAGGTTTCAGAGATGAGGTGGAACAGCCCACATCTTGGGTCATCAACCCAAGATGACCACATAGTATGAGGAAGACACAAGTTTTTGTGTTTTTAAGCCACTGAGATTTTCTGGTTCTTTATTATCATAACATAGTCTATCCTAAACTGACCAAATAGCTATATAACTAATTCCAAAACAAACTAAAATCATCTCATCTTAAGTGGCCTATCTTTTAACCTCTGTTCTATATTCTGCCACCTCCCTGCTCTCTATAGGGCCCCCATCTGTAAAATAAGGATAATAATAGTCTGTACCTCATAGACTAGGTCACTGGGGATTAAATACATCAACATGTGTAAAGTGATCACTTTATGGGCACTAACCCTTATGTAGCACTTACTATAATTATTACTTATTACAACTTTTATTATTATAATTATTACTACTAACTGATAATCTCTCAAAAATTTAACGTGTCCCTTTGTAAGAAACAAGTCATTTGCTAGGCTCCTGATACCATTTGCACGTTTTTCCTCCATCTTCTCTGCTGTCTACATTTCCAACAGTCCTTTCTCTGCTACATCAATCTCCTCTACCTGCCTTTTCCCTAGCTGCACATGAGATCATGTGGAAAACTTTTAAGAGACACCAATGTCTGGGTCCCATTCTAAACCCATTACTCATTATTGGGCCAGAGCGGTGCAGACAAGATATTGACAACTATAGAGAGATGTTGGCATGCCCATACATCCTCATCAGGCAGTCAATAACATATCATCAACATGTGCAAAACTACAAAGGGTTTTTCATCACCTGCACAAGAATTCCCGTTTGCTGACCCCTGCTATACAGCAATGAGAATGAACACATACTATATGCAACATCAGGGAAGCATCTCACATATATGTTGGGAAAAGGAGTTATATTATGTAAGCATAAAAGTCCAAAAGTTGGCAGAACTCATTATGGTGTTAGAAACCAGAAACCCTCATGTGTATGTTTGCTGGGAGAACTGAAGTTAGAAACCAGAAGGGGACAAAACAAGTCTTCTGGGGTTCTGGTAATGCTCTGTTTCTTTATCTGGGTGCTGGTAACACAAGTGGGTTCACTCGTAAAAATGATCAAATTGTGCAATTATGACATAAATACTTACATAAATACTTTTTATACTTCAATAAAAATCTACATTAAGAAAGGAAAGAAAAACTTGCAACATTATCACTATTCACCCCCAAGTCAGGGTTCTGATGACACACACTGAAAGTATACTATCTTTCCATTCCTAAGGTCTGGCAGCCCCGGACACAATACCCCACTATCTCTAACCACAATATTCACTGGATTAGAACATCTTCACAACCAGCTCCCACTAACTGTTCGGGGTCTATTTCAAACATCATTTCTTCTTCAAGGCCTTTCCTGATCCTTCTTTCCAACACTAGCCATGCCAGATATGATTTTGCCTAGTAAAAGAGGTTTCTTAAATAGTGCTGCATAGTTCTGCAATAGTCAATTTTTATGTATAAATGCAGCAATATCCATTTTACCCCACCTCTTCAACTGTGATTATTTGAGGAAAAAACTATGCATTACACATCTCTGAATGAGTCCCCATTATTCTTGTCAGAGCATAATTATTCAATTACTACTTTGTAATTATAATAAATCAAAGATAAACATTACTTCAGTACTAATCAAAGACACTATAATGTAAGCACCAAAAGTTTAATAAAAATATGCAGTAGGAAAAAAAATAAAAATAAAAAAAAATATGCAGTGGGCTTGAATATCACCTCTCTGAGAGGAGATTTTAAAAATGCAAATGACACAAGGACAATTCTCTAGTTACAAAATCCTCCCAATCAAATCAAAGTGCAAAGACACATTTAAATTACAAACTCACCTGTGGAATCTGTGTGCTTTTCCCACATCCTGTTTCTCCAACAATCACCACTGTCTGATAGTTTTCTATCAAGTATAATATATGATTCCTAAGCTGAAAAACATAACCATTAATTATAAATAGCCATGCATGAATCAAAAGACCTAAACAGCTAAATATTATGAATGTAGTATTTGCTAAACAAAAGTAAATTTTTTTAGAAATTATAGAAATGCACATCTAACTTTCAGGTACTATTAGTATTAAAATAAGCTAATACAGTTACAATTGAGCAATAGCAACTTAGCAAAATATATAATAAACATACCTTTGATTCAAAATTTTCTCTTACAAGAAGTTACACTACAGACATACTAATACATGTGAACAAAGATGTACAGAATATACACATATACTCATTGCAGAATTATTTATAATAGCCAAAAACTCAAATAGCCTAAATGTTCATCAATAGGGGATTCGTTAAATCTGCTATGAAACACTCCAGTGATGGAATAACTTGCAGTTGTTAAAATGAACTAAATGTCTACATGTATGGAAATGACCTGAAAGATAAGAGAAGCTAGGTGCTAAACAGTGTGAATAACACACTAGAATGTATGATTTTATGAACACATATATATATATACTTATATATGTATATGTTATCTTTGGAAAAAACAAAACAAGAAACTGGTATTTGCGCCACTTCCAAGGAGCAGAAGAGGGTGGATGGGAAGCAGGGGTGTGAAGACCTGAATGTTGTACAACATGCATGTACTCGTAATTTAATTTTCTTTTTAATTTATTAAATTCTAAAAAAGTTCCTCTACCTCTAAGTTCAAAGTCACAATAGAGGTGCCATGGGTCTATCTATATTTCAACTGAGGCTTCCTTGACCCATTCAGTGTGAGCAGAGATACTGGTTTGGGCACTGAAAATTCACAGATAACTCCAACATCCTTTCTATTTAGCTTCATAATGTATTTTTGGGTACACATTTGATTACAGATACACCCAATGGTCTGGAAGGTCATAAGATGTTCCATAAATACCTGGTTAGGAATGAAATAAAATACTGTCAAATTCCCCCACTCTGATCACTGCTCAGAGCATCTGATTCCACAACAAGGAGTGTTTGGTGACGATTAGAAGAGCCAGGAGGGTTGCTGCCTCCTGGGAAATCAAGTATTGGCTGTTTGGAGTTTGGGGACTTGGGGTTGTCATTATTTGGGATCCAGATTTGTAGTTACCAAATCTTGGTGTGAAATCTCTTAAGATATTTATTAGAAATGAAGATCTCTCAGCCTGCCCTTAGGGTTTGTGACTCAGTAGGGCTAGGGTAGAGTCCAAGACAATTTCTACAAGCACCCAAAGGAGATTCTGCTGCAGTGGTCTAGTGACTGTTATCTAGATACTTTCTTGTCAGTTGCTGATTTTGTACTTTCTTGTTCTGGATGGGGGAAGTAGAAATATGCAAAAGGTACAAATTCAAAAACAAAGATATACAACACAGGCAATGCATTGGATCTGAAACTACTAAGAGCTACTTTAGGAAGTATAGAGAAATATGCCTTAAAAAAGAAAGCTAAAATTGACCACATGTTTGTAATATGTTGTAGCAGCATGCACAAATGTTCACTCTGCTACTTTCTCTACATTTCTGTATATTTGAAATTGTCCATAATTGAAGAGAGGAAAAAAGAAAGCCACTCCTTTTCTATCCATTTTTCAATATGTAAGACCTAACTGAAAAAAACCCTGAGAACTTTCAAAATTTATATGGTTAACTGACACACATATTTGAATAGTTAATCCCTTCAGATTAGACAACCCCTGAGCTCACTGGGCTTGAAAGAATCATTAAGATTAAGAAGACACGACTCCCTTCAGTGCCAAATATAAAGCTACTGTCCCAGAGATCCCAGACTGCCGAGCACGCTTCTCCACGTACCCTAAATACGGGCAGCTTCTGCCTCTGTTGCTCTATAGAAAGGGCGGCGTACGGATTATACACGACGGTTGTGGCAGAGTTTTCAGCTAGACTCTGTCTCTCTTCAGAGATGCTGACGCCTGGTCCCTCTGTACCTGTAGCAGAAATGTTTTTTCAGATTCTCTGAGACAATGGCAGAAGAAATGTGCAAATGGTACAAATTCAAAAACAAAGATATACAACAGAGGCAGCGCATTTTATCTGAAACTGCTAAGAGCTATTAAACTTTAACTTTAAGGGGCATATAGGAAAGTATCGGTCAGAATACAAAAATCTTCCCCAAAATTTTTACTGCAGTGTCAAGTCCACTAGGCTCCAAAGTGACTATGTTACAGAGCCCAGCCACGAGTGACTATGTTACAGAGTCCCCTGTGTTACTGTTGGCATCCAGGTCCTCATTGTTACCAAACTCAAGTGACAGAAACCCAGTGGAAGGGAGCTAAAATAAAGGACACATTCCATTATTGCAGGATGGCATCCTTTCAGGGATGAAAGGAACAGGATGCTCAAAATCTGCCTCAGTTTTCTCCCTCTCTCATCTCAACCAATTCCTTTCAGTCCTGAAGCCAACTTCTCTGCAGGAGCTGCACAGCCTTCTATTGGCGGGTGCTGGAGATGTTCATCCAAAACTACCATCTCTCAGGTCTCTGAACACACAATCTGTGATGCTAAGGAAAGTACAGCAATTTCTGTGATCAGAATATTTAACCCAGTGACTTATTTTCACATTTGAGGGAAGAGAGGGTGTCCCAGACTCCTTCAATCATCTGAATAAAGATATGAACTCCCTTTCCTGAAAAACATATCACAACACAAAATGCTGGAGGCCCATAAACCCCATAGAGTTAAGTTTAGATCTCTGTTCTCTTTTCCATTTATTTCTAGGAATACTGTTGTGTCCCAGAGGTCCCAGAAAGCCATAAGTCAGGTACTGCTGCATGGTTTTTGCCAAAATGTTGACCTTTCCTTTCAACACGATAAAAGAACAGGGCCTGGAACAAAGCCTGTGCTTAAAGACTTCCTTTCCTTTTCCCCTTATTATTGCTGCATCTCAATCACTTCTTGTACCTTTTTTTCCTAAGATATATTTATTTATACAAGAACCAGGGTACAGGCCAGATGTGCGGGAGGGTGAGAGGATTCACCAGAGACAGAGTGGGGAACAGAACAGGCAGACTGACAAATACACCGCTGAGGGGAGCAGCAGCGAGCTAGGAGAGGTCTGCCGTGCCATGTGGGTATCTCTGCGGTCGGCCAGGATCAAACCTGCACTGCAGGGGCTGTGGACAGCTTCACAGCCCTGCGCTCAACCACCTGTGCCACCAGGGAGACCCCACTTCTTGTACCTTTATCCTAGAAAACTATTGCAAGGACTACCTTATCCTCAATAGCTGTTTTTTTCCAGAATTCCCTTCTTTTCAAAACATTGTCTAAACCTTAACAGCGAGGCTGTTAAGAACCCTTGTCTCCTGCAAGGGTTCTTCCTCCCACACCAGGATTTAATCCGCCCAGGTGTTTTCTTCACTACCCCACCCTAATTTGTCTCTAACCTACAGCCAATTCTACCCCAGTAAATTCTGTTATGAGATCGTTTACAAGAACAGCTGCTGTTAGTCAATAAAGAAGATGTGTACTCCTTACAAAAGACTTCATTCAACCAAGCTAGGCTACTTCCCCTCTTTATATCCCCATGGCCCATTCTGGATGTCTATGGTTGTTTTTCCCTTGGGAACATTCTCTATACTTAAGGGAGTAACACATTTGTAATTCTTGCAAACCATAAATGCCTTCATTTCTCCATCTATAAAACAGCGCACCCCCAACCCATCATTATCTCTAAACTAGCTTTTCAAAACCCGATGGTGAGCCACTAGTTGGTTATGAAATTAAAATACTAGGACATGACCAGCATTCTTTAATAATGAACTAGAAACAGAATGGAAAATATCAGGGGGCATACCAGAAAACAACACTGTTTTTGTAAAACTTTTCTCAGGGCGTGCGTGCGTGCGAGCGTGTGTGTGTGCATGCACACGCTGGATCACAACACAATACTTCCTACTGTATAATTTCAGTCAAAAAATCTTCAAAGCTGTTGCTATAAAGTATTTACCAAGCACATGGTTAACACTCATTGAATATTTGTTGAGTGAATGAAGGAAAATGGCCAGGCCCTTTTGATCCACTTGTGGTAGCAAATTAATTCAAACTTTTCTACAAAAATTTCAGGCAGGTCATATAAGGCTCTTAGGACAGAGATTACAAATTGGTAGAGACCACAGATTAGTGACTCAGGATATGCCAAATATGCTATAGTTAAAATGTTTGCAGTTAATATAAAGTAACATGTAAAAACTTCCCATTCAAATCTGGATATTAGGTTTCCTTAAAATACAAAAAAAATCTCACAACTCTGAGCCCATAGGACAAGGATGTAGAATGGAGCATAGTTTCCTGCTTTAGATAGCAAATGTAAGTTCCAGTGTATCTCTGCATTGTTTATTTCTATCAGTGTATGTACACTCTAGTTTGCCATAGTTCATGCAACTCCCTATTAACTCCCACCCAGCAGTGAGACTGTTGGAAAGGCCCCTTAAGCTACCTGGGCTTGTAACTTACCATCTACAGGATATGTTCATAATTCCAACACCTAGTCTTATATCCAATCTCAACCACTTCCCTAACCTTCACCATGTACTTCCAACATCCTATTTTCATACCTTTAACTTCACTTTCTTCATCAGTAAAATAAGAGTAATAACTCCATCACAGAGATAGTGTGAATCTCTGTACTAGTAAGAAAGATGGCAGTAAAAGTGGCTTGCACATAAAATCTTTCCCACTTTTCTATACTTCTACATAATTATAATCATTTGTAGGGCTAAAGCTTTATATGTACTTCATATAGCCCTCAAAACAATTCTATGGATAGGTTTTATGCTCAATATACAGATAACTGAAACTTTGAGCATTTAAGTGATTTTGCCAAGTCACAAAGTTAGTCAAAGGAAGTCAGGATGGGCTCCATGGTCTGATTCTACAGGGCTTCTTCCTTACCCCCAACCTCTTCTAACTGATTTTAAAATCTCCCCTAAAGGATATCTAACTTCATAGTGAGAGAGAAGAGCGAAAAGAAACAATGAATCTTGAGAGCAGAGTTCCGTCATCTACATTCACCACCTGATCACAGGATTGGGTGTTCAGTAAGTGTACCCTCAATGAATGAACTAAATAATGGAATAGAAATCTTAGAGTAATCCCATGTTCTATAGTATTATGGTCTGATATCCAACAATTCATTCAGCCCTTAATTATATTTAACACTTTGACCGTATTAAATAATTTAATAAATAAAATAGTATCTCATTATTTAATGGGATCTTAGCTTTGGCTATAAATAAAACTCAAGATAGGTAAATGGCTAATGACTTGAAATGCTGAATCATAAAACTGTATGATTTTACTTTTAAGGAATGAACATGTCCCTTGCTTGGGTTTACTTCTCACAAACTTTATATGCATGGTCAGAAGTACAGGGAGCCATGCTTAAATAGCCTTTAAAAGCTTTCCTTGTAATGCCTTTCTTGTCTCATTTCATTTTTGCTGCAATATATTTTCAAATGCAGACCTGCAGAGGTGCACATGGTAGGAAAAAGCAGCTGATAACTATTAAGAAACTTGTTTTTCACAAGAAACTGAAAGAAGTAAAGGAACTACTCCCTCTAGCAGGATCCGGCACGTACACATTCAACATAAACCTGATTGATGAGTAAATTAAAGCAATTACAAGCAAAGCATTTTGTGAGTTGAAATGCAAGTCTGTAAGAGGGGAAGTGGATGGCAGCTAATATGAAGGAGGATGATCCTCTCTGGCAGACACTCGGGATAGCAAGAATTTCCCTAAAAGAAATTAAAACACTTTCCCTTTTGTAATCACTTTACGTCAAGCAAGGCGTTGTGGTCGTCAATCAAGTTCACAGGATAGACATTATTCTGCCAATCTCACAGGTGAGGAGGCTCAGACTCAGAGGGGTTAAGTGACTATTACCTTATGGCAAAGCCGAAAATTGGAACCCAGGTAGTGACTCCACTGATGGAACTCCCAGACCCAGAACAGCCCCAACGTTACCCCAGGGTGCTAATAGGGCACGCGTGGGCGCTTCAGCATTTCCCCATCTCACGGGTTGGGCAGGACAGGCATCTGGAGTGAGGAAACCGAGGCCCGGGGAGGCTGAGGGACTAGAACAAGGTCACACAGAGAGTTTCTGCCCAGACTCGAGGAAGACCCCCAAATTATCGGTACCACGGTAAGCGCCTGAGCCGCAGTCCACCAGCACCAAGGCAGTGGTGGCAAGCCCGCCGAGGTCAGGCCTGAAAGCAGGGCCGCGGGCCCCCGAGCGCCGGCCGCAGGGCTAAAACGAAAGTCAGGCTGCCGCATCTGCTCAGCGTTCAGCCAAGGACCTTACCTGGACGCCAGAATTTCACCGGTCCCACGGGCGCAGCCATGCTGGGGTGAAAGGTCACGAGGAGACTCCACCCCTTCGTTGCGCGCGAGCTCCCGGCCGCGCCGGGGGGCGTGGCCCGCGGGAGCCTGGGCCTTGGCTGTTCCGGCCTGTTACGGCCACGCCCCCAAGGCCACCGCCCTCCTAACCACGTGACCGACCGCGGCTCTCTGGCTTGCGTTGTGGCCCCGCCCCGGGACCGCCCGATCCCGCCCCGCCATATTGGAGGGAAGGGCGCGTACTTCTGCCTGATTTAGCTGCCCTGATCACGGTTTCAGGTGGCTTGGCCTGGATGATGGCCCTCGGAAGGTCAAACTTTGGGAAAGGACTGCTCGCAGGAGCATGTTGCCGCCAGTAGACACGGTGGCACTGAGGCGATGCCTCCCGTAGTAACTGCTAAATGCTGATTATTTTGCAAGCTGTCGCAACGTTGCTACTTCTCTTTTAGTCTCATTTTCAAATTAAAGGGTAATAAAAATAACAGTAACTACCTCAAGGACTTGTTGGTTCACTAAATATTTATTGGGCGCCTCCTGTGCGACCAGATACTGCAGTTGGGCCCCTTCATGGAACTTCTCTCCAAGGCTGGAATCAGGGTGATTAGTAAATGCTGTGTAAAGAGTTGTGTTTATTATCCGTTAATAAAACAATGGGGAATGATATGGAAGTCTTCAGGGACTTAAGTAATGCTGAAGAAAACTGGCAGGGCGCTGGGGCGGGTATGTGGAAAGGACTGGGTCTTAGATTGGAGTAAGACTAGAAATGGGTGAAACATTTGGGCTAGGATTCTAACCTAAGTGTTTCCTCCAATTTCACTGCTTAGGATCCAAATGCTTGTCAAAAATAGGGATTCTAGAGCCAGATTCAATCCTGATTCAGAATCTCCAGAGGCATGACCAGGGAAAGTGCCTTGGAAGAAACTTCAGATGACTGTTTCCATCAATAAGCTTGAGAAACAGTCCACTAATCCAAAGGAGAGCTGATGAGAGATAAGCTCCAGTAGTGAAAATATTTTATTCAAAATAATTTCAAGGAAGTGAGAGGCTTCTGACTATCCTTTTTTAAACCTGTGAAGACAAGTCTGCATTCTTTGAGATATATGACAGTTAATGGGAAGATCTAGAGCTTTAGAGACAAGTAGCCATAACTTGGAATCCTAACTTTGCCCTTTCCTAACTCCTAGCTGTTGTCCAAGCTGTTGCCCTGTCCTATAACAAAGTGAGGTGTTAAGAAAAGGTTGTATTAAATAAGTTACCACAGTATAAAGCAGTGGGCATTCAATCAGCATTAACTCTTGTAGTAATTCAAATACAGCAAAACTACCAGGAGAAAAAAAATCTGAATTTACATGGGTATGTTCATTTTCTAAATATTCCTTTTACTTGCTTCCATAATAATTGAAATAGGGTTAAAGATGATAATCCCTCCTCCTAGAATTCTCCATCCTTCCTCCTTTGCACACTTTAGAAACTGTGTGCTCATTTTTGTGATAACCCTTGAATTTAGTTGACCTATGGTTAGTCTGCCTCCACTATTACACTGGGAGCTTCTTGAAGAAAGCATCATATCACTTTCATATTCCTAGCCCACTAACAAAGTACCTACTTTGTATATGCAAAAAAGATGCTCTATACTTAGTTTTAGTTCTTCACAATATTATCCTTGTTTTATTTTTGTCTTATCTTCACTAAAGGCCCAAGTATAGGCAACAAGGTTTATATGTGATCACAGAGGAAAATATATATATATATACACTATTTTTTAATTTTATTTTGTAAATTACTCATATGCCTTATACGAAGTCTTCTGCTGTGAGACAGATTGGTCATGCCCAAATTACTGAGTCATAATTTTAAAGCTGAAGGAGGATTTAATCATGATCGAGCCTAAATTCTTTGTTTTATAGAAGGAAAACTGGCTCGTGGAAGTTAAAAGGACTTGATCAGGATCAGTGATCTAATTCACAATCAGACCTGGAACTAGAACTCAGGCTTCCCAATATTCAGGTCAGTGTTTTTTCAAGACATGAGCCATTTAAAACCATTAGAACTTAGTCCTTCTCAATGATAATTGGTTCATCTGTCCCAGAAAGTTCTCCAGCTCAAGTGTCTCTAAGGGGTGGTTTTGCTTATACTGACATTTACCAGAAAATGCACCTAAGTAGTAAATAACCTAGATATGTGGTTTTATTGTCACAAACTAGGAATGTTCTCAATAGACTATCTTATTCTTCCTAATTATTTTCAGGAAGAAAATACACTGCTGAGGGGAGCTGCAGCAGAGACAGGAGAGGTCTGCTGTGCCATGTGGGTCAGCTCCCTGGTCAGGAATTGAACTCATGCTACAGTGGCTCAGTGGCTGGCAACAGCTTGATAGTGCTGAGATTTTAACCCCTGCACCACCAGGGAGGCCCCAGAGACCAGACCATTTTCTTGAGATTGCCTATCCCTCTTGCTCTTATTTCTAACCCTTGGCGATGCTTTCAGAGAATGGTTGAGTCCTGCTCCATAAAAAGGACTCTATGTTCAGGTAAGTCTGTAATAGGCACTCCTCTGAGAAAGTCACCCTGATCATTACCTCATTTGAAAATCTGAGTAATATGTCAGTAAAAATTCCTCTTCAAATTTATTTGATTCGTCATTTCCCTAGCGGAACAGTCTTTTTTATGGATGTGTACTAATAGGCATTGTTCCATGACCTGAGCTGAAATTTCAGGTATGCCTACACTTTCCATGAAGTTTTTTGTTTCAATTCACCATTGCATTAACTGCCATTTCTCAAGGTATACCCTCTAATGAATCCAGTACTCCCTGGGCATACAATAGCGTTGAACTTGGAATTTCAAAATTTGTGTTTAAGTGCTCATGTCACCCTTTTCCAGACATGTGGTCTTGAATATGCTACTTAACCTCAGCTTCAGTTCCTCCAGCTGTGCTATCACTACATGGTTATGATGGTACAAAAGAGCACACGGGGAATTATCTAAATCTGTGAATGATTTCAAGTAACCGTGTTTATGCCAGGCTGGGGCTGGACGTGAACCCGCTGCCTGTGTGCTGCACAGCCCAGACTGCAGCACTAACCCAGCAGCTCCCTGGTGACCACAGGGAGCCCAGGTGCGCTCAAACCTGCAGGCGAGTGCATGAGCTGAACGTCACAGCACATGTGTATGTGGCAGACAGCACCTCTCCTATTATAGATCTGGTCAAATCAGGAGAAGGAAGAGGCCCTTGTTTAACTCTCTTCCCTTTGTCCACACAAAAGAGATTAGACAAAAACAGGATTCCACAACCATACCAATCCTGATTAGCAGGATGTAGAAACCAGCTGCATTGCCTGCCACTGGACTAGGAATCTGGAATAATAATCAGTGTCCTCTTTTGCCCCTACTCCAGGATATTAGGTTGCTAAATCATTGTCAATACACCCATCTGATGCAATTAGGCCCATGGAGACAGCGGAGTTAATATCTGTGAGGAATCCAGGAATGTACATGAAGGCCTTTTTTGTCAGAGGAGAAGAGAATTAAGGTCCTTGTCTAAAGAGCTTAAGCTGCTTCTTTGAAAAGACAAGCTAGAGTACATGAGAAGACCTGCAATTTCCGCCAACTTTCCTCATCCAAACTACAGGCAGTAACATCAAAATTCCTATTGCTAAGGAACGTCTGATCCTGACACTTGCTTTATGTTTTCTAAATTTTATGTGGATATTTTCTCTTTTACAAGTTTGATTATCCGCTTCTTCTCCACCCCAACATCATTTAAAAAAACAAATGCATAAACATCTATTAGGTGCATTTACTCTGTGAAAATCCTAAAATTAAAGATAAAAAGCGCTACCAACGGAAAATGAAGCACCAAACAATAGTCATTTATATTTATTCAATGCTACAAATGTAGATATCCTAAAGAAGAGGCTGGCAAAAGTTTTTTCTAAACACGACCTTTCAGGAGGGTAACACTGGTTTACAACACCACACAGGTCTCACATGTACAGCTTTCTTCTTTGACATCTGTATAAATGGCATCACGACCCCACAAAAAGTCTAGTTTCCATCCACCACCATACAGTTGACACCTTTCACCCATTTTACTCAATGGCTTCCCTTCTGGAAACCAAGACTCCAGTGGTCAGAATCTAAGAGTTTGTTTGTTCATTTGCTCCCTTTCTTTATCTCTAAACAGGATTTTTTTTTAAAGATTTATTTATTTATGCATACAAGAAATGGGGTGCAGGCCAGAGATGCAGGGGGTGAGAGGATTCACAAGAGAGAGTGAAGAGCAGAACAAGTGGATCTACTGAAATACACCGCTGAGGGGAGCAGCAGGTGAGTCAGGAGAGCTCTGCTGCGCCCTGTGGGTCACCTCCCTGGCCAGGGATCAAACTTGTGCTGTAGTGGCTGCGGACAGCTTCATAGTGTTGTGTCTTAACCCCTTGTGCCACCAGGGAGGCCCCTCTAAACAGGATTTTGATCACAAAAATACTAGTGATTCAAACTGCTAAAACAGAAGAGTACACAAATCAAAAAAAATGCAAAACATATTTTATCTCTCACCTGAATTACTCTGAGAACACCTAAGCATTCTCTTTAAGTGATACGACTATTACAACCATGCTAAGAAACTATCCGTAGTGTTTAAAACATGAAACCAATACCTGGTTTATACAAGACAAAAATAAAATTAAAACATACAAAATAATGTGCAAGTTACAGAGTTCAAAGAGAATCAAGATGATTACATGTCAGGTGAAACAAAGGTCCCTGGGGATGAGAGACAGTGTGTAAAGCAGACGTTCTGGCGATACCTGCAGCAGCCCAGATGGAAACAGGAGGCTGGAGGTGGAGCAGTCACTGGTAGGAGGGATACAGCGGGATATCTCTAATAGTCAGCAGATTAACTGACCCTCTGGTAACATTTCCAGAATTAAAACTGAGGTAGTTTTCAGTAAAGAATGTTCTCCTGGACAGCATGGACAGCATGTGGTTGAGCCGGGATCTGATGCCAGCAAGGTGAAACTGCCGTTCTTTATTCAGGTTTCTGAATGAGTCTCTCAAGCACAGATCCAGGTGGGGGGTGCTCCAGTACTTGGGGTGCCCAGGAGTGATGAAATCAGTGGTTCTGAGGGAGGTCTGGGAGCTGATGGAGCTTGCTACAGAACCTTGGGAAGACAGAGAAGAGGAAGATTTCAAGCTGGAAGATCTCGACACAGACATCCTTGATACTGGGGACCCTTCTTTAGATTGGGTTTCCTGAGAAGAGAGAACATTCTCGTCCACATTGGTCTGGGTGGTGGCCGACATGGACTGAACCACAGTCTGGGAGCTCGCCTCCCTGGTGGTGACTATGGTTTGGGTCCCAGCACAGGCAGTGGTGGTGCTGGTTTGTGTCCCTGTGTCACTCAGGCTCACCACTGGCGTTTCCTCTCCAATGTCTGTTTGGGTGGCAGCATCGGTCACCTTTCCGCTCGCTGGTTCTTCCTTGTGGCTGCTGATATAGTCTTCCTCACTAATGGTGGAAGACTCGGAGTCGTGGCGCCGGGCATCTGCCCTGCCCTCAGCACGCGCCTGGCACTCCAGTTCCGCCTTCTTGGGAGTGCTGGAGAGCCTGGCCAGCCGCAGCCGCAGCAGGTTGCCCAATGTGAGCTCCTTGGACAGTGGTTTCCAGTCAACTAGATGATCAAACTTGCCGCTGATCCTGAAGTTGGAAAGGAGTTTGGAGCTAATGGGCTTTGACTGTGCATATAGGATGCGGAACTCCAGGTCAAAATGTTCAACCACTTGGCCAGACAGAATGACCAAGTTACTGCTATTCAGTTTGCCATCCGTCCATGTGAAGCTTAAGGAATAAAAACAAACAGAAGCTGGTGACAATATAGCTACTCCTTAATGTGAATTCAACTACTCCTTTTTTTAAAAAGATTTATTTTATTTATTTATGCATACAAGTACTGGGTATAGGCCAGAGGTATCGGGGGGTAAGAGGGTTCACGAGAGACAGAGTGGGGAGCAGAACAAGCGGATCTCATGAAATACACTGCTGAGGGGAGCAGCAGGCGAGATAGGAGAGGTCAGCTGTACCATGTGGGTCAGCTCCCTGACCAGGGATCAAACTGATGCCGGGGTAGCTGGTGATAGCTTCGTAGTGCTGAGACTTTAACCCCTGTGCCACCAGGAAGGCCCTGAATTCAACTATTCTTTTTTTTTTTTAAGATTTATTTATTTATTTATACAAGCACTGGGTACAGTCAGAAGCGCAGGAGGGCGAGAGAATTCACCAGAGCCAGAGCGGGGAGCAGAGCAGGCAGAAGGACCGAAGTACACTGCTGAGGGGAGCAGCGGGCGGCAGGAGAGGTCTGTGCGCCATGTGGGACCCTCACCCGGTGGCCGGGGATCGAACCGGCACTGTAGAGGCTGCGGGCAGCTTCGCAACCCAGCGCTCAACCACTGCGCCACCGGGGAGGCCCTGAATTCAACTACTCTTAATGCTGTATATAACATGACTATGTCAACAGAAAGGTAAAAATGTTGCTTAATCAACACACTAAAACCTACATATTTTCAGCCTCAGGGTTTTCAAAAATAAGAAAAGGCTTTTTAAATTTAGGCCAGGGCCTCCCCTGGTGGCGCAGCGGTTGAGCGCTGGGTTGCCTAGCTGCCTGCAGCCTCTACAGCGTGGGTTCGATCCCCAGCCGCCGGGTGAGGGTCCCACATGGTGCGCAGACCTCTCTTGCCGCCCGCTGCTCCCCTCAGCAGTGTTTCGTCAGTCTGCCTGTTCTGTTCCCCGCTCTGGTGAATTCTCTCACCCTCCCGCATTTCTGACTGTACCCAGTGCTTATATAAATAAATCTTTTAAAAAACTAATAAAAAATTAATAAATTTAGGCCAGTGAGAAGTGGGCTAGCAGTTTAGGCCAGTGAGAAGTGGGCTAATAGTATCACAGTGGGAAGCTGGCTAGAGTAGACCCTAGATGACACCAGTCTTTAAGAACTGCCACTACCCCCTCCAGTGCTATCATCCTCACATAGGTGCCCACATGGCCACTCTATGATGCTGCTGTTGCCCAAGCACCTGTCGAGCTGACTAGAGAGAGGCATGTGCTCCTGCTGCACCCATCCCCCTCCTCTGGTAATAGCACCCCACTCATCCAGTCAAGTTTTTCATTTTTGAGTCTTCTCCAGTCACAACAGAGGTGGACATGTGGCCCAGCCTGGCCAGAGTATCCTATCCTCTTGGATATGGGCATCTATCCAGAGTGGGCATGTGACCCTCCAGGGCCAAATACTTCTTCAAGGTCTGGTGCCTGCGCCAAAAGAAAGGAAGCCTCTCTCTTTGACAGCTAGCCACGAAGCCCATGTGAGTCCGGATCTTTGCCTTCGAATAAAGTGCAGATGTCAATACAGATCAAGGAGAAGCAGAAGCAGGAGACCCTGCTCTGGTCCATGTCTGGCCTCTAGATCAAGGTGGTCTGGAAACCAAATGCACCTTTCTGCACTGCCAACTTACGAGTCACTAGAACCCATTCCTCATAAAGCGGTCTGACTTAGCTTTCTACATTTGCAATCACCCCAGTTGATAAAATTTTTATCAAGAGTAGGTGCTTTCAAATCAGAAGTCAATAAAAATAGTATCAACTGTCACTCGCATCCAAGAATTCCAGCTCAAGCAAATTGCACCCTGAGAACTGACTTCAAAGTCTGAGAAGGAAGATTCTTGTGGAAACCCTCAACGAGGTCATATAAACAAAACACCCATCAATGTCAGGATTATTAAATGCCCTCAACAAATGGAAGCCCTCATCTTCATCACCATCCTCCTCCTCGATGGCAGCACATGCACAGGTAAAGGGTGGGTTTTGTACTTCATATTTACAATAATCAAAACCATTTGGAGCTAAGTTTAGTTAATATAGATAAACCCAACATTGGTTCTAGTTTTTTGTTTCTTACCAACTTTTTACGAAAGGAAGCCTCAAGGAAGACTGCTAAGTGTGTTCTACGCAATGTGTTGAAAAGAAAGGAGTCGAGTTTTTTGGTGTGACCTCCTCATCTTCCACAAACCTTTGCATGTCTGACTTTACTCAGGGCTGACACATAATTATTATTCAGGGATGCATTTCTTCAAAAATGAATTTTTCTTTTTTAAACTCCAGAGACACACCTCATGCATACCATCGGATAATCTAATGCCAAGGTGGCAGACATGCTGCTGTAGGAGTGACAGAAGTAAAAATGGCACATTTTAACCTCTAGAGATTAGTGTTAACCACTCATTATCTCCACCCTCTATTCAGCTTCCCTGCACTCTACCTTAAGACGCTTTTGCCAAAATGAGATTTCAAAGGTGGAGCCAGAAACATTCATCAGTATTTTCTAGACCAAAGTACTAAATTACAAGGCTGGAGAAGGTGGAGGATCTAAGTGGAAGGTCCCAGCTTCAGCTCTGCAACCGCTCTTTACCTTCAAGTGAGGATCTTCAAGGATGCAGGGCAGGGGCGGGTGGGGGGGGGGGATGGAGGAGGGTGGTGGGAAGCAGCGGGGGCGCCAAGGCAGGCCTGGAACAGGTTAGAAACATACCTGTAGGAGCCTGTAGCGACCCGAATGCCATCAATCAGGGTGAACTTTTCATGAACTTTCCCAACAATTTTAGTTCCTGACCTTGCGTAGTAAATATTTCCTGTAATAGTTCGAACTGTCATCAGCTGTTGATAGGAGAAAAAGAAATGAACACTTCATCAAGCAAATGATATAGAGGGCTTAGTTTACAATTCCCAACCAGACAAACTTATTGGTCAAGGAGAGGCTCACAGTCACCACCCAGTAGCCACACGCGTAGCTCAGCAGACAGGTGATTCTCAGGACTCATGTAATGAAGCTTCATGTGCGGTCCATCTTCTCATTTGCCCTTTTCTTATATTTAATTTTTAGACCCTTAGTTCATGTATATATGTGCTGTAAAAGAAGACTCACTTTGGGGGGAATACTAAACCACAAAATCTGAGAAACAATTTGAAATAAAATGTGGGCAATAAAATCATCAAATAAAACATGCTAATAATAAGTAACATTTTAACATTTAAAAAAGATAAGCTGATATTTCTCCTGTCTTGTTAATAGCTTCACTTATGACCAATAGTTATTTTCACTTACTAACCATAATGGGCAGAGAATGGGACTAGGGCAAGCCCTCTCTAGCACAGGTCTACTAAGGCAGACACATTCATGCACTATGTGTTTTAATCAGCAACATCACCTCTCCTACAAGTATATATTTACAAAAAATGATGCAATGGTAATACATTACTCATTTAAATTAACTGCTTAAGATTTTTGTTAAGTTCTCTCATTCTACAAAGAAAGCCCCTACTATGTTCTAAGTCATGTATCACTATAGACAATAGAGACATAAAGCACACTCCTGGTTTGCCTGGACTAGGAGAGAGAGAAAAGTCCCAAATGATTGAAAATCAACAGCAAGACATATCATTCAAAGAAGTAAAAACATGTACATGAATAGTCTTAGCAACTTTATTCATAAATTAAAAAGAACAAACTACTGATACACACAATTTGTATGGATCGAGAGCATCATGCTAAGTAAAAAAAAGCCAATCTCACAAGATCATATATTCTATGATTCCTGAATGATAATATTATAGTGGTGGGGAATGAATCAGTGGTTACCAGGGGTTAAAGGTTGGGGGAAGGGTCTAGAAGGAAGCAGACATGAAGCAGGAGGGAGATCTTTGTGGAAAAGTTCTGTATATGGAGAAGGATGCACAGGTTCATACATGCTCAAATGGCAGAGAACTACAGACACATGTTGTTTCAAAATCGATTCCAAGGTTTTGATGTGAAGATATGATCACTGGAAGGAAACAGGTGAAAGCTGCCTGGAAACCTTGGTACTCTCTTTGCAACTTCAGTAAAGAACTTCTAGCATTATTTCAGAATAAAAACAACAGACAAAAACAAAAAACGATGGCAGACGTAACATCACTGCTGTGGTATTCTTCCCAAGATACATAATCTGAATTTAACCATAGGGCAAACACCAGACAAACCCAAATTCTACAGGAAGCTGTCTAATCTTCTTCAAAAAGATCAAGACCCTACAAGACACAGACAGACAGAGCAACAGTTCCAGATGAGGAGAGAAGGCAGCTAACACAAGGTATAGTCCTGAACTCGATCCAGAATGTGGAAAGGGGCATTTTTGGAGCTATTAGTGTAATTTGTAACCCTGTGGTTACATGATAGTATTGTATCAAGTTATTTCTTGATTTTGAAAATTGTACTGAATTTCGCTAGATGTTGATATTTAGAGAATTTGTACAAAAAATATTCAGGAATTCCTTATATTGTTTTTGAAATGTATTTGCAAATTTTTAATTATTTCAAAATGAAAATTAATTTAAAAAACAAACAAGGAGCTTCCATGGAGGTACACATGGACCTGGCTGGAGAAGGCTTCCTGAGAGAAGTGGTGATTCCTGCCTCAGCCAAGTTTCAAAGGATCAGCAGATAATAACAAGCATAAAAAACAGCACTATAGGCAGATTCAGACATGATTTTGTGTATCTTTCCCCTTGGCACTTATCTGAATATTGGACACACCTCTGCGGTTGTGGCCAAAGCACTTTTCCAGGCCTGCGTACAAATGTGTGAACAAGTTCCTACAGACAGGACATCCAAGATCCTCAACCAGCCAAGGAGCAGGCGCCTTGGGAGGCGAAGGCAGCCCCCACTCCGGGAAGGCCCAGACCTGCCAGCACAGACAGACACTGAGTAGCAGAGTCAGAGAAGGTGCTGTGCTTCCCGAGGAAGACATTGTGACAGTATGAAAACAGCTGAGGCCAGAGTTACAGACCCCCTGTCAAGCCCTCCTAGAGGATCTGGATGCCTGTGAAGGCAGAAGTGTGGTTCACTGAGTCGGTAAATACTTCCAGATTTCTACAGAGTAGATGAATCAGAGGCAATCATTTGCTCAAAGTTTCTGCCAGAACTATTCTGATTTTCCTGCTACGAACATACAGCCTTGAATTACAGAAAGAGTACTTTGAAACTAAACTCTCACACTGATTTTCCTCACCCGACTCTACAAGAGCAGTTGCAGACTGAACGTCTGGCTAGCTGATGACATGCTTCCCCTCCCCTGAGCTCACTTTTTAATTGGCCGGTGGGTCACATGGCCGGCTTGTTTCATTCTGTCTCCAAGCTCCAATCCTACCTCCATCATGAGTTTGCCTTGTGGCACAACTGATAAGGTAGTAGTACCCAAAAAAACCCAATCCTAAGTTTCCTCACCAGGGAAAACAAACAGCAGTAATTCTGGGCAAAGGTAAATCACTAAAAATTTGTGAACCTAATTGCTGGATAATAACAAGAAGATAAGTTTATGTCTCCTGTGTAATAACCTAGGGAACCAAATTCTCTGTATCTTATGCTTACTGCTTTCTTTCCAGCACCAGGAACAGCGTGTGGCTCACAGGAGGTGCTCACATAGGCAATAAGCAAGTTCATGAATTAAGGTCTGAAGTACACAGGTTAAATAGCTTTTAAAAATAAAGAGTATCACAAAGATGAATTTTTTTTCTTGCCTCTTTCCTCTAAAAAGAACAAGCAACCTAAGTTGTATAACCTTACATTTAAAGATTTAATCTCTGATTACTTTCAGGCTAAGAGTAAAAGACATAAAAAGTCTAATTTTCTAAGAGTAAGAAATGGGAGGCAGCATGTGACCATGAGTAGGATCACTGGGGACAAATGCAGGAGGCCAGTGCCCCATCCTCCTACTTTCTACTTGGAGACACTGGGCTCTCTGTGGCATGACTGCCTGATCTAAAACAAAGGTAAAACGCCACGCACCTGATAGAGCTGTTGTGAGAATCAAGTCACGAAACACCTGCTCACAGCCTAGGGCAGTGCCAAGGACAGAGCTGGCTTCCATAACGGGCAGTCATTGCCACTAGAAGGGGACACTGCCACCCACCAGCCCCAGCCCGTCACTCACAGTATCTGTTGGTTGCCCCAACTAGAAACAGTATATATAACACACACCTTTTCCTGTTCAGGATTCACTTTCAGATCCATGCACATATCCAAAAACTGAGAGAGCAGGGCCTGGTCCAGAAGGATGTATACAGCAACTCCCTGTTTCCGACATATTTCCTGCAGGTCTCGGAAGATGTCGATGTCTGTGAAAATATCCATCACCACGGCGATCACCTACAGGCAAGCAGACGGAAGAACAAGTCAGCTCACAAGAACAGCACCAAAAAGCTGAACCCCACCTCAGAACTGGAAAAGAAGTACCAGCCTATAATAGCTTCCTTCCTTCTCCTTCTGAAGTATGGGCTTTCCCCTCACCATGGACTCCTCCATTGCCAAAAAAGCTCAGGCCATCTCACCCTGAAGATCTTGACTTGGCCCAGCTAACTCTCCCAACTGCCTACAGGCCACTCTCCTTCACACTGACCAAGTTCTCTAAAATATAAACGAATCCAGTGGCCTGTCCTCCTATGAGTCTGCCCATTCTACTTTTCCTTTCTCTAAAACTGCGTCTTACAGACTCAGCTCACACCAGCAATCCATCTAGGTTCTGGGGCTAACACACTGTGCCCAAGGCATGCTGCCAGCCCACCAGCCTTCAGTTTTCTGTATCTGTAAAAAGAAGTAAATCGAACCTTAGATTCTCTCTAAGGTTCCTTCTGGGTATAACATTCTCCAAGTCTATGGTTTTGATTACTGTCTGATTCAGATCATAATCTGTTTTTTATTATGCTTGATAAAGACCCACCCCTTGACCACCAACTCATGGCTTGAAACCAAGCAACCACGTGAGCAGATTCCTGCATCTTCTGCCTAATGCTACACACCACATCTACGTGATGGTGGCCTCCTCCCACTAGTCCAGATCCAACCAAATGGCTTCCATGGCACCAGCTTCTCCTCTCTCAAAGATGGTCCCCATAGTTCTGTATCTGCCTACCGTGCAAATCTGCGACAGGAACATGGAGACACACACTAAGTCCTTGCTGCTCCCCGACACCAAGGCTCCACTGCACCTCCTAATCCATTTTCCACACTCAGCATTAGACTACAAAAAAGAGCTGCTGCTGCCACATATCCTTGGGCGAATTACATTTGTTTGGAATGCCCATTTCCTTAGCTGCAAAATAGGTTTGTAGTGAGAACTAAATGGCTAAGCTACAGGAACTGCAGGCACAAAGGCCTCTTAAAAGTATCTGCTCATTGATTCAGTCCAGGGTTCAAGTTGTCCAGACAGTTTAACACAGGGAGACATTGTCAGCTCCAGCCAGAGACACTAATCACACCTTTTGTAGGCAGAAAACCGTGGCCCTCAGCTAACCTGGCAGGGCTGCAGTGGTGTTAAAACATCCATGCTTAGGAACAAGCTCCTGCAAACAAGTCAGCACGAGGGGGAAGGGGTGGTAGCCAAGGAAACTGCTCCCCAGAGGCAGGTTTTGGAGCGCTTTCGCAGTCAGGAGCTGGAAGCATTGCTCCCTTCTCCCACCTTCAACAGTGAAAACTCTTGGGTCTCTTCTTCTGAAGATGAAGGTAATTTGTTTATGGCAAAGTCCTCCAATCAGGACTGGTCCATCTCTGTGGCCCCAAAGGACTCAGGACAGCACCTGAGTCATTACCCCTTAGGTATTTTGAGGTTAAAAAAGAAATGCAAAGACAAAGGGGCAATTTTGCCGTCTTTCTCCAATACCCCACATCTCCCCTACCAGGATGACAGAACTTGAGACACCAGCTCCTAGGAGATCTTGGCTGGGAGAGAGTCTCGGAAAACCTTCTCTCTCTGGCTGCCTCTCCCCTTCCCAGTGTTGCTGGAGCCCCAGATGTGACTGAGAGCTCACAGCTTTGGCAAAGAGTACAGTTGTAATCCACGGTGATTTAAAAAATAACAAGTATTGGTTCTGAATTGATGGTATCCTCACAAGTTTATATCTGGTGTATTTTTACATGCCCTATTTTAAGTTTCATCAATCCCATTCATTCAGGGGGTTAAATGGGCATGGAGGTTAAAAGGCAGAAGGCCCGAACACAGATAGAGCTCAGCTCTGTAGCTTACTGGCTATGAAACTCTGGGCAAAGGGCTTAATCTCTCTGAGTTCCTTCCTTTGAACAATATGAATAACAGCACGTGTCAAAGGGCTGTTGTGAAGATTAAATGAGACAAAGCATGGAAAGGGCTTAGCTCAAGCATGTAGGAGGAGTACAATTATGCAGCCAGCCCCTCCTTGGAGTCAACTGTGAGCTGATCCCTGTATAGGCAGAAAGAGGGCTCTAAAGAATATGACGCAGAACCAACTTACCCACAATGACAGGACAAGGGCTGCAGGGAAGCAAAATAATACATATTGAAAAAGAGGCAATTAAACTGGAGGGGAGGGGGGTGGGAGTAAAGCACAACAGGCACTCGAATGTTTATCAAAGAGGAGGAGCGAAGGACTCCTGGAGATGGACTTGAGCTGAATCACAAATAAGGACGAGATTTGGACAGAGAGCAGTGAAGGGGAGGGCATGCAGATAGGAAGCCACATAATGACAGTCTAGAGGTAGGAAATGATGGGGTATGTACCAGTTCGGCTGGAACGTGAGTATGTGTGAAAAGGAATGACAGGACATGACTGGGAGACAGACAAATGAATGAGCAAGGTCATCAAAGGCCGTGAATGCCAACCAAGGAATCAATATTACACAGGCCGTGGGGGAAAGGAGGTTTCAGTGGAGTAATTAGTTCAAAGTGATAAATCCAACAGGACAGAAGAAACTGGTGCTGGCAGAGGGAGTAGTCCTTTGGCGATCTGGCTCCACCTCCTCCAACACAGGGCCACATGCTTAAGTGCCTGCATCACAGCAGGCAATCAGATTTTTTTTTTAGGTTCAGCAAATGTTTAGAACTAAAGACCAAAAGAAGAAGAAAAGCCAGTGACAGAGGTTTCCATGACGGCCAGGCAGAAAGCAACAAGAGCGCTGGGCGGGACAGGGGCTCATGGGAGAGCTAAGCGCTGGCAGTGGCTATGCGAGGATGGAAGCGCCAAGATGGGGGTGGGAAGGGTTGAGGGAGATTTAGTTCCACACAAACAGGAAAACAAGCATGAGAGACAGAGGCTTCAGAAATGATTTTGAGGTCACAGTAAAATCTTCCCAAAGGGTCCTGATGCACAGGTTAAGTGTGAGAGTGGAGCTGAGGGGAGATAACAAAGGTCAGATCCCTGCTTACCGCCCTCACTTCCCACTGTTCTTTCGGACATTCAGCGAGTCCCCGTGAGCCAGGCACGGAGAGCCAAACCTGACCTCAAGAAACCAGTCTGATGAGGAGACAGGAGATGAGCCAGGGTTAACACAGTGTGATAGGGTGATGGACGAGTATCCAGACTGCCACCCGAACAGAGACTAAGCAACCCAGTGGGCTGGGTTAGAGAGGGCTGAGGGCAGCTGGAGGCAGACCCTGGGAGCAGGGTCCAGAGAATAAGGCACATTCCATGCTGAATTTTGATTCACCATTAACGAAACAACTGTACAAGCAACACCTTCACTAACTAGTCAGCATTTAATTTGCTTTTAGTTTCATGGTTTTTGTTTTTGTTTTTTAAGATTTATTTATGCATACAAGAACTGGGGTACAGTCCAGAGATGCGGGGGGTGAGAGGATTTACCAGAGACAGAGTGGGGAACAGAACAGGCAGATCTACTGAAATACACTGCTGAGGGGAGCAGCGGGCGAGATAGAAGAGGTCCGCTGTGCCATGTGGGTCAGCTCCCTGGCCAGGGATCAAACTCGCGCCGCAGAGGCTGCAGATTGCTTCATAGTGCATTGCTTAAGCCCTTGCGCCACCAGGGAGGCCCCCATGGTTTGATTTTAAAGCATCAACCTTTCTGTGTGTGTTGAAAATAATTTTTATTAGAACACAGGCCTCCTAACACCCACAGGGTACATAGAGAGCCAATGGATGTGTTTTCTCACACTCCCCTGGTACCCAACATCCCCTCCCTTTTTTTTTTTCCCTTCCATTATTTTATTTTATTTTTTTCTATTTTATTTTATATATTTTTTACATCATTTTTCATTTTTGCACAATGTATGCTTTTTCATCTTGGCTATAGTCCCCATACAATTCCCACCCCCCCTTATTTTGACCGTAATCCCTCCTATCCTCCCCCCTTCCCATAGTGTGTCTCTGGCTTAGAGTTGCTTATTGATTTTGATTTTTCCTTAATTATTATTAGTCTTTTTCCTGGTCCCTTATTTAGGTTTTTCTAAATTCCTGCTATGAGTGAGACCATCCGGTATTTTTCTTTTTCTTTCTGGCTTATTTCACTGAGCATGATCCTTGCCAGTTCCATCCATGTTGCTGCAAATTGCATCAGTTTATCTTTTCAGATTGTTGTAGAGCAAGACTCGCCAAGAAACTTCCTCAGGAGGAGCAGCCCAACTAGTGGAAGCAGCAAGCAGCAGGGCTTCCTTTCCCAGCAGGCTTCCACACAACCAAGCCTGCAGAGGTGAGCCAGGCCAGCAGCTTCTCAAAGCTCTGAGATTGACGTGTCCCCGCTTAGCTGAGCAACGATCCGGCCTCCTCCACTAGTCAGTCGGGTGTCTGCTTGCCAAGGCCGCAGCCATCTGCTATGTGTATTGGTGAACATGCTGCAGGCTGCTGGGCCCTAGAAGTACACCTGGACTGGAACAGCAACCTAGTAACCAAAAATTGCTCCCACTCTCAGGGCATAAGATGGGATGGACAGACTCATTGAAAGGTGGGCATCCACACCAACCAAATGTCCACATGGTCCCTGTGGGCACAGCCCTCTCCCAGCCAAGGTTGCACAGAGCCTGCCCATTCTCTTAAGGCCAAGAGGCTATGCAGTGGTGACTTTTGAAGACTTTTGCAAGGTCAACACCCATGGTCACTTCAATGCAAATCAGTGGCTGCACTTCTCTAGTCACATCTGGAACAGCCACACCTGTTTCAAGTTCCATGTCATCATCACAGGTGACAAAACTCCAAACCTTACCCCCCAGTCACTCCAACATCCCTTGATGATTTATGCCAAGGAACCCCGTGATCCAGGTATTAGCAGAGTGACACTCACCGGGTATGGTTCTAGGGGAGGGCACAAACCCTGCTCATGTTACTTTTTCATGTAGAGCTAGAATCGTTTCCTTGCTTTCTTGTTCTGGAATGAGGTACCTACTG